TATTAATAATTGCATACCTAATAAATCTTTGATTGTAACACTAATTTTGTAATTCTTTAATTGTACACAAATATTATGAATAAAGCTAGTGTCCAGTCTGAATAATACAGAAGTCTTTGCGTACTCTAGTCGCCAATAGAGGCACCAACGTATCGCGGCATATCAGGCTTTGCCGGCGACCTCATCGGAGGGCGTCCTTTGTCAGTCTTATTCCATGTTATAATATCTTAACCGCATTTCAATTTATTAGTGTCTGTCTATCGCGGCATCTCAGGTGAGTAGCGTATTCCTATAAAATGAGCACCGCTACTGCTTAATCACACCGAATATTCTAGTATTCACATCATACGCATTATTTAATGTATAGAGTAATGTGTAATAATGAGTTATTTTCGGACAATCGATCACTTTCCAACCAGAAACAATTATAAAGTCAACCGCCCAAGTTGGCAAAGACATATTTGAATTTATAAATTATGAAGCACTTATAAAATGAAATAAAAGCTATCTTAAATGGAAATTAAAATTGGGCCAATTACATCTTTTAAGCAAAAAATCTAAAAGGAAATGTTTCGATCACTATGTATATTGTATAAGTAATTTCTTGAATACCTACTCCAAGGGTTTCTCCGTTGCAGCCTAGATATCGACCGTGCCATTGGCTGTCACTAAATAAGTTGAAACAGTAGGAAAATGACTAAATTATTAAAAAAACAAATAATTTTTTTTTCTTTAGTCTTATTACCGTTTATGTCTTGATATAATATAGTAATGTATATGTGAATGTAAATATTAACACGAAAACAATCATTTTTTTTTCTTTAATAGACATACTTCTATTTTAACAAGATACTAAATTCTTTAAAGTAAAAATATTTACACGCAAAGACAATGTTAAACTTAATATTTAAGTTCATTTTTAAAATATTTATAGATATCCCCATGATTTTTCTGGATCTAAGAAGTACATGATTTATAATAAACTAGTTTTGCACTCCGCGTATAGGTACGTACCGACTACCGAAGTCGATAAAAAGTAGCCTATGTGTTAATTCAGGATATAAACTATTTCCATTCCGAATATCACTCCGTTGATCTGTTACTGTGTGAAGAAGTGATAATACTTTGTTACGTATTTATAATGTAATATTTATCGTGATATATCAACAAAGCTATCAATCAATTAATGAATGATAAATATTTTTATTACTTATGTTTTCCGGTCATTAAAATTTAGCCATAAAAAATATTACTAGGTTTTTATGTTTTCATGCATTTTGAGTTAATTAGATGCAAAAAGAAACTAAATATAACTCTGTATGAAATAAGTAAGTATATAAATAATTACTTTTTAACTAAAAATGTAAACTATTTTATAACCCATAGAAGCGGAACACATTTTTTAAAATTATACACAGGATGGAACAAATAAACGGGTAATGGAAGAAAAGTATATTATTAAATATTGAAGGTATTGAAGCTTCACTTCGTCGTCTCAGTGCTTATGTGTCCAAACGACAATTAACCGAAAGAGTTTTTGATACATTTTTTTTAATTTTAATGTTGATTCTATTGTTATACAAAACAAATTCTTTTTTAATAAAGTCGAAAAAAAGTATAGAATACATCTTGTATTTTATCTTTATATATTATCTCAGAAATAATAAACTGCATTTAACTTTTTTAAAAGGTTTACCTAAGCCATGAATCGAACCAACTAAAATGCAAAAAAATAAATTGTAACTAGTTTATTCAGCTAACCAAATAAGGTAAAGATAAAAATCTCTCATACAAACATTATATCTTAAAACTACGGAAAACCACGAAATATTACAATTCGTACGTAATGGCTTTAGCAAGCATCGTTGGAACAAACGAACTAGAAAATGGAAGAAAAGTAATGAATATATCAAATCCCGCGCAAAGAAAACATTCGCAACTGTTCACTCTACTTCTTTTACTACGTTCGATAAACATTAAAAAAAGTTGAATGCAGGTATTCCAATTTTAAAAATAAAAGAATCTATCCTTTGAGTACAACTTGATATAGTTAATATTGAGGTACTTTTCTTCCCGTTCGTTTGTTCTAATCTATATATGGAATAAATTTACATTTTTACATTTTCTTGAGATGGATAATACTTATGAATTCATATTAATTAATAAAAATATGACAATCGGTTCATACTTAGTGAAATATCGTTTATCATAGGTAGAAAATAGATACCCGAGTTGAGTAGCTTTTTTTTTTAAAGTCCGGTCAAAAAGTGAATGACACCGTAGTTTATAAAGTTGTATTTTTACTTTATTTACAGATAAATCGTCATATGAAATTTATGTTTTTGTTTATTAGCGTTCGCGGGATGGGTTATGTAGATAAAAAGTTATTATGAAGTTTAATTTGGGAGTGAGTCGTACGGTCAATATGCTCAATTGGTTCACTTGATGAAACTCGTCACTCGGACACCTACGCAACAGTGTCAGCGCTCAGGACATAATCATCACATCGTGCTTTAACTAAATGAAAAAAATTAAATAATATTTATGTACGTCCTACAAAGAGTATTAGCAGAATCAAGATGTAGTTCAAAGGGATTGTGGTTATGACCTGAATTCCTCAAGGGTTGTGCATCCTTTATTTAGTTGATGACTAAATTGTGAATAAAAATCATTTTTAACGTCTACTTTTTGCGGTATAAAGGTGAATATATCCTAGGTTGCTGAGTCGGTTTTTTTACGACATGGAGGTTATTTTGAGATGTAGGTTAATATCAAAATATAATATTCAATATAAATGGGAAACCATTTTGAATGAAATATTCTCAATACCAAGTTTTTTATTATATTTTGTAGCACAATATTCTTTGATTTTCAACAAAAAAATATAGTGATAGTAGAGTGTTCAGTTTTTATGCATTCATAGAGTTATGATTTTCCTTGTACCTTCATATATAATTTTTTCTTTTAATTACTGATAAATGATTTCGGTTTTGTGATGTTGCTATATCTGTAACTTAAAATTGTGCAATTAATGTTTTGTCTAATTATTCATGGAACATTACACTACATTATACATGGAAGAGATAGTATAGGTACCTACCTACTGTAAAATTTTACTACTGTATAAAATGATTTTTCAGAAGAAAAATTGCATATTTTATTAGACTAAATTCGAAAATAACAAAGAAAAATATTAAAGTAAAACATTTTATATGTATAATGTAATCTATAAAAGATCGGTTTTAAGGCATTTGTGAACTTGATTATCAATTATATTTATATTGTACGTCATGAGAAAGCATGTTTTACGTTGTTCAACAAATTTCTACGACGTTTTTGTGAGGTTCATCAAGTCTGAGTCATTGTGACTCATACGCGCAAAACAGCATTTACATACCTTTTAAGTATTTTATTTCAGTAATCAGATTTGCCATCATTAGTGACTGGAAAGGCTCAACAGTATTGCCCTAGTAGAAGTATAAATGTTAATTGCATATTGTTAAAAATGCTATACTTGCGAGTATTTATCTATGCGTCACATGTTCAATTCAATTGAAGTTCATATTTCAATTGACGTAAGTCGAGCGAAGGCAACATCTAGTCGAGTTTTAATGATTCTACTAGTTCAACCAGTCATTGAACATGAAAAATTCTTTTGTTATTATAACTTTAATTATTTTATTCGGTCTACACTTACATATAATTAACAAACTTTTTACGGTCTTTACATTTATCCTTCATGTTAAGTTTTTATTTAAATATAAGTATCAGGTACATGTATTTTAAATTCAACATAATATGATGTAGTCTTCATTCAAGAAATGAAACGCGCCTTGACATAAAAGAACGTAAACGATAATATTAATATCGAGGAACTTAGTAGGATTCCTATTAAACGGATTAATCTAGATAAAAAAATTGTAATTTTAAGCGAGCGACCATATAAAATATACAAACGTACCGTTATCATTTATACCACGGACACCAAAAGATTCTAATGTTGATTATTACGAAAACAAGAAATTACACGTCATATCTTTTTGGCATGATTCCTAATCGTAGATAAAAACAAACAGAACACAATATAATATTGTTTAATTGACGAGGAAAATGTTATATGTAAATACATGGTAACTTGAGACTCAAATAAAATATTATAAATTATACAAACAATTTACTACTTAGGTTACCGATAAGTTTTTAGATTATACATTAATATAATTTATTTATATTAGTTACTCTTTCTTACCATTATATTATGTGCACGATATAGAAAACACAAATAAGCTTGTCATAATTCGTTCTGCTTAGACTAGACTAGCTACTCGCCCTCGCTCCGCTCGGGTTCGTCCCTAGGTTCATTCCCCATACAAACTTTCATCCCTATTTTCAACCCCTTAAAGGGTGATTTCTAGGATAAAAAGTAGGTATCCTATGTCCTTCCCAGGGTTTCAAACTATCTTCTTACCAAATTTCATCTAAGTCGGTTCAGTAGATCCAGAGATTACCCCCTACAACGTCACAAACTCACAATTCACAAACACACAAACTCTACCTCTTTATAATATTAGTATAGACTTAGCTCTAAGTATTAAATATTACTATTTACAAGTCAAATAATACATAATTAATTATTGCTAAGAACTTTTGTACTTGAACATTTTATGAAAAAGAATTTAACACACCTCAGGTACAAATACTAATAATTCTAAAAGCTTTAAAACAAGGACAAAAAGCCTTAATATGAAGATTTTCCTCTTTATTTTCACCAACTTATGTTAAACGAAGTTTTATCTTCTATATTGTTTAATATTTTCTTTGGTAGCTACCATAGTTTGGCAAGAAGTTTCCCCTATCTCGACCGATTTTACGTGTTTTCTTTTTATTAACGTAATGGAGTATTTTTATATGACTTATTTGTAAGTCCGTATTCCGGCAAGATGGCAACTTGCCATTCCAAAGTTATTTCGATTGCTCTCGACTGTCCTGGTAAAGATTTATCCAATTCTTTGTTGGAAGAAGCTGACACGTTTTGGGTCGACTTGGGGCGGAGGCGTGGGTGGTATTTCATGTTGTGGCTTCAACAACCAGGGGTTGTCGACCTTCTGATGCGGACTACTCTCGTTTCTCCGCTGATTGGCACCTGATGGTGTAAGGTGCAGAAGCGGTGGAGTTTTGCTTTTTTCGCAAACATCAGTCTTCTCTGTATTTGGATGCATGGTCGCTATAACAAAAGCATTTTTTATGGGTAACATAATAAATTTAACTACGAACTAGTTTCTATTAAAAGCCTCGAAAATTGTATAGTATTAGAACTGTAAACAGTATAATAAGGTGATCATTATTTTTTTTATCAAAATTATTTTTAAACAAAGAAATATATTTCTTTATAGCCGGTATACCCAGTAATACGGGTTTACACCTAGTACAGGGAACCTTGCAACTATTTGTAACGCACATTGTATAGGTCAATAATTTTTTTTTCATACTTATAAAATAAAAATAAAAAAATACTTACAGTCAATATTTAATGGATCCAAACGAATGTTATTCAAGCGCGAACTGATAAATTCGACACCGTTTACAAACATTTGACACTGATAACAACGATATTACCACTACCTGAGTGGACGGAGGTCTCGTGAGAAATGTGCGATGTTTAGTTAATGCAGTCGCTTTATATGTGACTTGAATCACTTGGCAGAGAAACTACAGCTACAACGTCACAGTTGGCCTCTGACGCCAAATTTTATGACGCTAGCGAATTTACCGCGTACAAGCCTCTTTCTTGCTCAGCCTGTCGTCCAATAGGTACTTAAAATACATATTTTGTGTTAATTAAGGTAGTTTATCAACAGTCAATAAGCTTATAAATTAATGAAATAATCATTTCAATGTAACATTCACATAAAACATGCAAATAATTAGGTATTATTTATTTGTATTTGTATAAGTACATCAAAATACTCGTAATATAGCAGATAGTGCATAGTAGATAGGCCTCCACAAAGGGGCATAGTTTCTCGGGCGCAACATCAGCATGGTCAACTAAGGTGTCGAGAAGTATGCACCGGTTCCACCATCACGAGAGTGCTCGTGAGCGGGTTTTCCCGTTATTACGCAGATCGAGCACTTCCACCCTTTCGAGCACTTGGCTCTTGCGCTCCACTCTGGACGGCTGATGAAGGCCCCCGCCTCTGGCTTATTTTGTCTTGACAGATGTTGTTTCCCCCGGGAGACTTCAAGTACGTGGTGTTGCCGCTCTTATTATTATTATAAAATACAAACAGGTCGTCTGTGGTATCACAATAATTTACGTAACTTCGTTCGTCATCGGTCTAATCACCTAAAGGCTAAATGTAATATTTTACATTATTCGTCATCTCATTTGACGTCGTCGCGATACCAAAAAAGAACGTTTTATTTATAGTAAAAGTATTGTGAAAAATCACTCGTATGTTTTGCGTAAGTTGAATGTCAAATTTTGTACAGTATAATGTTGTTTTAGTATATTATCTAATAAATAGGTACATTTATTAATAAAATGTATTTTTTATAAGTAATTTACGGCAGATAATTTATAATATATTTAGAAATAATAACAATGAAGCGTAAACGGGGATTTATGTTAAAATTGATACATTAATTAAAAATGCAAGTACACATTATAGAAGGAAAATCTAAGTACCTACTCATGTTCCAAGTTAGCATGATTACTTGATAACCACTCAGACTAATTGTTCAATGACGATAGTTCTTACAAGAAATATTGGAAAATTTTTAGGATTACTTGTCAAGGAAACGAATGTTGTCAATTTATTATGACTTTATAATTCCGTTATCTAAATTATAATGATATGCTCGATACTTGACTTTTCTCGATAGTTTTATTTGAGAACCTATGTAAAGTGGTACCTAGATAAGTTATAATATGACTTATTCAATAATAATATCTTTTCACGCGAAAAGATTAGTTGAAACACGACTGACGTCGCTTCAGAAATACAACTACTTTCTAAGTATACAAAAACTGAATAACTGAGGTTAAAGAAAAACGATCAAGAACGCGCTCGCATCAAGGTAACGGGGGATGAGTAAAAGGACGCACCTATGGGAGTGTCTGTACCTACTTTTAAAATAGTCATAGCTTGGCCTTTGCCGGTAAGTTTCAGGACGAGACGTCGTCATTCACTCATTGTAGATTTTACAACTGAGATAAGATATTTTACAACTGATAAAAAGCTCTAGAAACATAATAAAGCGATTATACTTCTCGCGTTTTATATAATACAGTATAAATAATTATTAATATATTTTATTTTAAAACTTCATGACCTAAAAATAACCCTATTAATATTATATTTTCATCCACATAAGGGTTTAAACTTTTAAGGTAACTATGGTATGAAATTATAGTAATTAAGTATGTTTATTAGGTACTATTACAATAGTACATTGCAATATAGTATACAGCTTTCGAAATGGTGACTAATTTTTAAAAGTATAAAAAGGTACAAGTACCTACATACATAATATGAAATTCGCTCGTCCTATGTGCGTTGCTGCTACGGTTAGTCAACTCATTAAAGCACATAGGTACATATAAATTAAAGACTACGAAAGAGCAAGCGTTAGTGACTTTCATAATTTTAAAATGTTGTTAAATGTTATTCTGTTGTTTCATTTTTTTTAAATATGCACTACTTTATTATGATAAATTAACAATGTATCATTAAAATATATAATTTTACGCAATAAGTTTAATTTGGATGTAGTAGGTTTAATTGATGCACAATAGTGTAGTTTTGGTGTTTCACTTCAGTAAAACAATGTAGCTAGAAGGTTTATCGGTAAGCGCGCCGTCAGCGACACCCAAGCACAGGGTCACATTTTATGGTACCGACTTTTACGTAAATCTAAATAATAACAATTGTTGTCTTTATAGTTTCAAGGAGATATCGCAAATAGACAACCCGTCGTCGTGCGAAGATTATGATATAAAGGTTTTACTGCTCCAGAGTTTACGGTTGTAAATATAATGGAGCAAATACCAAGTAACCACGTGAATCGGGTAAGCCTTGTGGCAAATAAGCACGACCTCACGGAACGTAGAACTTCGCACTCCTTTGTACCTCTAAAAAGATCATGTTGAGGAGTAACATCAAAGCACTAACATAACAAAAACCTTAGTTTGAAGGTACACGTCTATGCTGAAATCAATAACCGTAATACGTATAAATAATAACTGCATAAACCATGCTCAAATACTGCTGGCATTTATCATAGTATTCAGACTAGACTTATTTAGGCGCTTACTAATTGTAGCATATTAAATAGTCTTTATATATGTATAGTGAATTGTTTACTCACAAATATTATAATTAGCTACACGTACTGTTCGAATATCTACTTATAAGTATAATATGGGTATTCAGAATGAAGATTTATAATGTTTAACTTTTTAAATAATTATATACGGTTTTAACTCATACTCATTTTCTAAATGCACTACACTACTATAAAATTATATCATTTGGCAAAAATAAAGTTACTAGACGAAGTACTTACTGCTTATACAATAATGTCATTTTAAAAAATCATCATGTTGTGACGAGGTTACAATAATTAGGAACAGGCGTCGCTAATTTAAATGTTACGCAAAATAGTAATTAAAACAAAACACTTAAGGACCATTTGTAATCTATTGGAATCTTTAAAAGAAGTTTCTAAGTAGCACCTAACCATTGAACAGTTTCACTGTTCACCTCCAGATTTATCTATATCACAGATCATATAATACTATAGGTACTAGTTCTATATATATCTTTAATGATATCAATTTTATTTTTAACACATTTAACAAAAATATGATAGTAACAAGCAAGTTAAAATTTAATATTATAGTTACCTAAAAGTAAAGAGTGATAAAAAAGGCATAAAATTTACAATTTAATAGATGCCGTAAAAATGATATTTCATGACTGCAGTTGCAGTAGATACGATAGAACAAACAAGAGTAGCAGAATTTACTACTTTTTGATGTAAATTCATCAGTTTTACTAGAGGATTGCGTTACATAAGGCTCTCACGCGATCAGCGTTGACCTTTTAGTAACGTGTGGTGAAATAGTACCATAATTCTATCGATTTGCTGTCGTATGAGCCTCGATATAGACAAATAAAGTAAAGTAATTGATGAGGCACGCTATATGAAGAAAATACAAGAATTGATTCTTTTTAATACTCACATCATAGGTGTATTTGTTAGATAGGTACTTTGTTGTTATCGTTTCTTATTTTTTGTTTGATGAACATAATGTACACGACTAGAAGCACATATCTCAGAGGCTATTGGCTTTACTATAAAGTAGTGTAGAATCTATTCCTATCCAAAGGTATACTTAACAAGCTTATGTGCACTCAAAATATTCTTTTCGTGCTTCGGTTATATGTATTGAGTTCCACCACCTTTTTTGCCTAATTTTACTACAAAATAATTAAGTGGTTTACATGGGAGTAAACCTTCTAAATATTGTCTATACAGGCTTTAAAAGCAGAAATTAAAGTGGCTGTCTTATACGGACATCCGGATATGACATAATTATTAATATTCCTTTGTTGCCTTTTGTCTACGGAAGTTAATAACCTAAGAATATGTACATAACGTATTTTACCATATTAAGGTTTTCTTAAACTTTACGTAAACATTATCCTTGTCTCAGTAATTTAACAGAATTAGGTAGGTACATGCTCATATTGTGTACAAATTCCAGAAATGCATTTTAAGTATATATAAGCTTATGCCTCGTCAATTTAAATCCATGTGGAATCGATATTATAGTAATTTGCTTAGAAAATAAACAGATATGCAGTTTCGACAGACGTAACAGATATACTAGTACCTACGGCTACCTATCACTTTATAATAACTCTATGTATAATTATAGAAGTAACCTCTATTTTAGTATTGCGGTATAGCTGTATTGTTTGATATCAAATAACACTCTAACACTTGTTGTGATATAAGTAACTTTCAGACTTGAATGTGCCGAACAAGGAAAATTAATATATTTAATTAGAACTATATCATAGACTAGGACAATTATAAATTGATGCCACTTATTCTATTACTAAAGAAATAAAATAAAACTATGAAACATACATACTAAAATTTTGTATCAAATAATGAAATATTTACTATCAGTGGCTGTAACTTTTTTTTATCAATACCTCGTTGACCTACTAGCCGAGTTCGTGACAACTGGTGTCTCAGGGCATTGCTCGCTTCATTCGTGTTTAGCTTGGGGATGCATAACGTTAACTAAATAAAAAGAATTTTGCAGAAATTTACCATATTTAAAATACAGTTTTTCATCATTTTCAAGTCGATACGATATTTTTTCATATTTGAATTTCTTTTTTGTATGCAGTACCTATTGACTATTTTAATCGATTATTTATTTATAAAGGCCCCGGTTGAGCCACGCAATTCAAGTGGCTCCAACGGTTTAGAATCTTCTGGTCAAAGCTTGCCTACTCGTCCACCATTCACTAGAGCTGATTCACGATCGAATTTCTCGCCACAATCATTGCGACCAGGTGGCCCGCAATTACAGCAAAGACCACAATTTCAAGCGGGTGGACCAGTTACTAGTCCACCACAATTTGGACCGCGCCCAGGGACTCCAGTACAGAGGGGACCATCTCCTGCAGGCCCCCCGGGATCTCCACAGATTCGTAATCAATCTCCGGGAATTCGACCAAATCAACCAGTAAATTTGCCTCAACAAGGTGTTAGACCATCTCAATCACCGACATCAGCTCAGCCTCAAAGAGGTCCAGTACCCAATAATCTTCAGTTTGGTCCACGTCAACCTCCACAATTTGTTACTACGCCTAACGGAACTTCAAAGACAACATTAGGCGCTTCTAATAGTACTCAGCTTCCAAGACAACCATCCCAAAGTTCCCTCAAAGGTCCTGATTCTCCTAACCCGTTAACAAGCAAACCAGCCAACCTGGAGAACCAAATAGGTCCTAATGAAAATCATAACAACATCAAACCTGACAGCGGTAATGAAGTGCCGGGAGCGACTAAAGCAAGAAGCTTCAGCATTTCCGCTGCACCTGGATCACCAAGTCCCTTGAAATTGGATGATGATCGAAGAAAATCTGTAAGTGCTGTAGGTGGTCGATATGATGACTTAGTAAGTCGTAGTTCTGGGCTTGGATTGATTCAAGAAATGCGAGGCAGTAAAGATATTATTGGTTCTAAAGAAAGTGTTAAATCAGAAGCATCATATGAAGGCAAGGATATGCCAGACCGCCCAGAATCGCGTCTAGCGGGTTCTAAAATGACAGAATCATTTATAGGATCCTATTCAAATACATCGCCAAAAAAGAAAATAGATGACGATGATGATGTGGTATCACAAAATAATTTGTCATCAATGAAAAATGACACTTGCCAAAATAAACCTGATCTTTCCGATCGTTCACCTTCACTTACACGTAGTGATGATTCACCAGAACCTAAAAATGTATTGCAGCAATCTGCAATATCTAATAAGACTCCAAGCGGAACGCCTGAGCCACAACGTCCAAAGACACCTAAATCTGATATAAAACAGGAAATAAAGTCGGAATCAAATAAGGAAGTAAAACCAACAGTAACTGCGAATAAAATTGTTACTAAATCTCCTTCAACAGAATCTAAGTCACCTTTGGAGCCAAAGTCCCCTATATCATTGAATAAAAAACCAACAGAGCTAAAAACATCGATAACACCTTCCGATTCTAAAAAATCAACACCACGTAAAGTAGCTTCTGCTCCAAGCTCTAGGCCTAAAGGTAATTCATAAAATTTGACCAATCTAAAAATATTATTTGAGATGGACCAATCTAGCCGATACGTAAAACCGATAGTATTTATTTTTCATTATACAAATCTTGTTCTACCGCTTTTCAGATGGCGATAACGACAGTGGCGTTGACGAATCTACCCAAGGAAATGTAAGTAAATTAAAGTACCTATAAGCTAAAAATTGAGTTTTATAAGTTATATCATTATGGTTTTTAAAATTTGAAGGATTTAAATGGCTCACCTGGTTCTCCAAATAAGAAATTACCCAGCAAGTTACCAACTAAGGAGAAATCCAGCAGCAGCCTAAAGCAAAGCCTTTCTCGGTCCTCAAGCAAAAGTGCTACAGCAAAGACACCAGAAACTCCACAGCCAAATGATAAAAAAAGTAAGTTATATAGAACATATTGAGAAGACATAAAGATAAAAATTACTAAATGTGTTGTGTAACTATGTATCATAAATTTTCAAAATATCTGAATATAAGTTAGTCAAGTATGCAAGTATTTTCTTTTGTTTTTGTTCAAACACAATTAATATATTAAATATCTTGCAATAAACAACTAAATTATGTATAGTTACAATGTAATAAAACGCGTCGTAGATGATCTTGATGATAATTTTTTTGTCTTATTGTAGAAGTACCCATGAATAAGGTACAAGTTGGTAACGCCCCATCACCAAATATAAAGGCAGTAAAATCGAAGATTGGTTCTTTGGACAACACTACATACAAACCAGGTGGCGGTAAAGTTAAAATTGAGAATAGGAAACTCGACTTCAACAAAGTCACTCCGAAAATTGCTGCTAAAAATGATGCCTATACGCCTAGTGGAGGAGCTAAGAAGGTAAAACGTTTATTTTCAATAAAAATATATTTTTTTATAATCAGAACATGTTTTGAAAGTGAATATTGCACCAAAAATTTTATATTTTTCTTCGCTACATATGTTTTTTTTTATTTTCTTTTATTTTGTTTGTCATAATTCTTTTTAAATTATTTACAGATTACAACTACAAAATTGGAATGGAATGCCAAATCGAAAATTGGTTCTCTTCAAAATGCATCTTACAAGCCAGGAGGAGGAGACAAGAAAATAGAAACCGTCAAATTGGACTTCAAAGAAAAAGCAAAGCCAAAGGTGGCTTCGACTATTAACATCACACATAAGCCAGGCGGTGGAGCAGTAAAGGTAACATCATTCATATAAATAATTATACAATATTACATATATCGATAAAATTAAATGTATGTTACTTATGTACTGATATACGAATATCACGACAAAAGCTGCAGTAAGTATTAGGTTTAAAGTAAAGTTTTAACATTAACACGAATGTACTTGTTATTTCTTGCGAAGTAGATAGACAGGCTTAGACGCAAAAATGTAAACACAAAATATGCACTGTAAAGTATTGAAATTAATCACACGTGGAAATCATATAGACTGTACAATGTAATTTGAATCATTTCTTGATGTTTGTAGAATTTAACAAGTGTCGAGACGAAATCGGTAAGTACCTAATTTACTAAAGGCTTCTTGTTCACAAAAAAATTGTGGCTTTTATGTTAGTCTCAAAAACACGAAAAGCACTGTGTTTATTCTAACTGTTAGAGATTAGCACTACAATTTTATTATAATATTGTATAATACATGGGTTACTTTCGGGTAAAATCTTGTTAAAGATAAGTTCCTATTTTTAGTTTGTAAAGTGGGCCTTACCCAGGTGGAGAGCGTCGAATAGACCATGACATTTCATACTTAGTCGTAGCAGGAAGGTTAGTTTGGTACCCTTGGTTTTCCTTGAATGTCAATATTAAGTTATTTTAACGAGTGAACTATATTACGTCTCTAGGATGCGTATTGTGGCTGCCTTACACGCTGACGTTATTCTATTAATACTCGTACAACAAAAGACCATCTAGTTAGAAAAACATTGTCTAAATTCTTTTCTGTAGATAGACATGAAAGGATAGCTAAATATATGAATTATAAAGAAATCTTTTACAGACTTCTTGTTTTTCTAATTCGATGAAATGATGAAAGTTGAAACTTTGAAGATCAATGTCGGTTAGCCACAAATGAGATGGAGAATGTTTTACACTACAATTGTGCGTTACACAGAACTCTTTTATAATATATTACCTATTTATATATATTTATTTTATTTAGAGGCAGTTTACGAACAAACATATAATAATAAATATTATAATTTATAATAATTCACAGATACAACAATGCATTCACTGCACTCGCACTGTCTACAGTGTTTATGCATACCTATCAAAAAGCACATAAAACTTTTTATGACATAAAAACAATTATATTGGCTTTTATATGAACGCATCTTTATATATAAAATATGTATTTATCAATAATATTTAACTGATTATCTACAAAGAAGCAATTGCCTGAAAAGTTCTATAAATGGTATGAAACCTCTTAACAATAATGGATACATTTATTAGAAATGATGCATAAATCGCGAGTATCTATAAATGATAGAACTTTTCTGTACATTCCTCTGCACTATACATAATATTATGTGTATTTATAATATTTAAGTATTGTTTATTGCACATTAACTTTTTATACAGATTGAAAATCAAAAATTGGATTTCAAAGCACAAAGTAAAGTGGGGTCCCTCGACAACGTAAAACATAAGCCCGGAGGGGGTGATATTAAAATATTCGATGACAAGGATTACATTAAGCAGATCGGTGGACACTCGCCGCTGCCCAACAGCCTCGGACAGTCCAGACAGGAGGTGAGGATAGCTCACGTGGGACCATGATACTTGTGACTCCTTTCCGCTTTTGTTATTTTTTGTTGTTTTACCATTTTAGTTTTTGGTGAAGGCAATCATCGTCATTACTGTGGCAGTTTACTCTTAGTACACATTGATTATTACATTCCCCATTATAGAATGTCACTTTTCAAATAATATCTAAGTATGTACATATTTAGAATTCTGTCTTTAATATTAGGTATATTTTGGAGATGTAATACATAAATTATTCATATATTCTGAATGATACAATTGGCAGCCGATTTCGACTTTAATAAAATATTTTGAAAACCACACAGAACACCTTATATAGGATCACAGACATAGCTTTAGTTGCGGTGTTGGATATTGTCATTTCCACATTAATCATTGTCGCTGTCCGGATTCATAGCTTCATTCATTTTTGTTTCAGCCAGAGTATTTATACTCATTTTATTGAATAAGTTTTTGGGGCACAAGGTACTTTATGAGTTAAAGAATGCCATCCTTTGTATTTAAAGATTGTTTTTATTTTTTTATGTTTATTTTATCATTAACATTATGTTTTTCTTCTTTTATCTATTTTGAACTAATCGTTAATTTTGTTGTATTAACATTTTTGCCTTCCTGGAATTATGTCGCAATTGGAATAATGATTTATTTTAATTGACCTGCTAATGATTACATTACATACATTGTTAAAGTTCCTTTTAAAATTTATTTACTAAAATTGTTAAAAGACTAGAGTGTCTATGTAGAGTATAAAATTTACAATTGCGTTCTACTTCTACGAAATCGTACTAATTCTTTTAAAACCATAATAATATGTAATAATAATATAATTATGAACACTTTGTCTCAGAGTCCAGTCCCACCGGCGGCGCAGCCTCCCAAAGCGGACGAAAATTTAAATCAACAGCCGTGTTAAGCGCTTCGACTACGATTTTCGATGATCGATACTAACAGAAGAGTCCAAAATATTTAATATACATATTTTTATTTAAATTGTTAATGGTTTTAACTTTTAAAGTTAATGTGCCTACTCAGTTGAGTGATTCATATGCGATTTCCCTCATTTTTTTTACTTTAATTTATTTAATTAACGTCATATATTAGCATATCTTTTGGACAATATGGTTTTATAATAAATTAAAGTATGTTCGAATTTTAAAAATATATGCGTAATTACGTAGATTGGTTAAGACAATTAATAGATCTTTAGATTTGTAAACATATATATGTTTGCAAAGAAGAACGATTGAGTGCCAATACGTAATACCTGTCCATAATGTGTCATTATAATATTCATTAGATTCGAATATTTTACTTATCTCATATACTTATTGTGTATTATTGTAATATTTATATACTACCATTCTTCACATAGCATTTTTACCATAATGACCTCATAAAACCGCAATCCAAAACATAGAAATAATTTATACTATGTATTGAAGTTAAGCTTTTTAATGGCTAGAAAATGCACTTGACACTATGTACAAAACTACAAACAGTAGAAGCACTCATGGTTTCTTTATAGAATCAAAGTGATAAAATCTACATGGCGATATGAATTTAGCTGGTACTCATGTTAAAATCTGCTGGCTATATGGTAGATCGGTGTGCACGAACGGAGTAGGTATATTTGGAGTGTTTTGGACTTGTGCTAAGTTCTCGACTCAGTAGAGTGACTTGAGCTTTTGAATTCATACGTAATTATACGACGACCTTGCTTTTGACTCATTGTTTTATGTCATAGCGAGTAATCTCCAGGTTTTTGAGTACTTTTACAATTAAATACTGAAGCGAGAACTGAGCGGGTTCGCGATTGACTGAACAGAATTATTCTTAGGCTATTCAATGTTTTATATGTGATTACTGTTATGAGGACTAATTAGAATTAGATAGCCGTATTATTTGGATGCTTTAGTCACGTTTATTTGCAATAACACTGTAATTTTTAAGGTAGAAATGCATTTGATTACTTTAAGATTATGAAATTTAATAATTTCTTTTATGTATAGCATTCGCTACGATCCAATGGTATATTGTTCAACAATAGGTACGGATGATTTTTGTAACTTTTTTACTTATAAGGTTTTCCACTTATTTATTTGTAACTTTGCCATACAATTGTCGTAGAGAACTAATATTCAAATTTTTAACTAGCTACATAATATTGTGAATTAAAATGGTATATTAAATGGATACACGTAATTTTAATACAAGTTAATGTCTTCATTATTGTTTTATTTACAATGTAATTGATGTGAGTGAAGCAGAAACCATTTAGTAGATAGTCACCCTTCATCTTAGTTATGCGAATTACCATAGAGACCCGTACACTTTGCACAAGCACCATACTTATGGAACATACCTTAGTATTGAAGCTTCTAGGTAAGTAACAGCAATTACATTATATAATTATATTTTAGTTATCTATTCTTTAGCCTCTGTCTATAAATCAAGATTTATTCACTAGGGTAAACCTATTGAAAAAAAAAAACTGTCATAAATTTATAGATATTTCTAAAGGATAAAGTATCATAATTTTTTATATGTTTATCGTAGGTATCCTATTTGTAATTAAAGATCAAAAATGTTAGAATATTTAATATTTATAACCTTACTGTAATGCAAACTAAAGTTATATTCTCTTATATAGGACAACTTCTACATGTCAATAGAAGAGTGGTCGGAGGAAAATCGTCCGTTGACAAGAAGCAGATCGGCTCGGTTTTCTCGCATGCACACGCCGCGCACACCGCGCGCCCTCTCCCCGCGGAAACCCTGCGACAGCCGGCGGGTGTCCGCCCGGGACCCCCCACGCTCGGCTTGCTCACGCCGAACTTCACTTACCGCCCGTCCAGCTTTTTCTGTTTATTAAAGGTCTGATGTATTTTATGTTACTGTAACTCAAACTGCAGCAAAGTCTAAGACTATCCTGAAAGGGTGTATGCACATTACGTTTTAAACGGGCCACGTGTTTCATGAACGTATGTCGACTACGCGCATTCTGCGCTAATAAACATTAAGGAGTCTATACTTTGTTTTTGTATCGACACAAACACACGACAAACACGTTCATTGTGCGTTAGTAAACCGGTAAAAAGTCGTTGTGTGCAAAGATTTAATAAGAATATTAAGAAGAAGAAAGAAGAAGAGAATTGCTCATATCAAAATTCTATTAGCATTCTTCAGGACTAGTTTGAGTTTTGCAGTATGAGTTATGAATTAGGCTCATTTTATACATATATTATACCAGAACTAGCTAGACTAGGACCTATCTAGGTTTTGTAGGTTTGTGTATGTGGTTCACTATCAAACACGTAGTTATAACTTATGGTTAAAATAACGACGATTTTTATTACAATTTACAAATATTTCTTTGCGATCTAATTATACATTTTTATTGAAATTATTTTATGTACTTAACGTTAAATATTTATTGAACAAGTGAATTAAAATCTGAATAACTTGTGTCAAATATCTAACAACTGATGAGGACAAGTTATAAAAAAAATCATATAGTAAATATTTAATAGGTGATTGAATTATGTTAAAAGTGTGCAATGTAAACTGCTGTATGTTAATGGGTTAATTTTTTATATTTTCGTAGACGATAACAGTCGCCTTGTTTCTTCTTAACAAGTGTGAAGATAATTCTGAAATAAATATTGTAATATTGAAATAATTACGTAAGTCATTGTAGTATAGCACAATTTGTAGGGTTTCATTACTTTTAATACTTGTAGAAATACGTCATAATATTTGTAGTTTAAGTTTAGGAAAGGGAAAGAAAATTTCGTCTTTTTACGTAGTAGGTAAATATATTAATATGTAAAATTATGTTTACATTATATTTTTTTCAATTAGTTTATTTATTCGGAGCATTTTTATGCACCTTATTAAACAATTGTACAGAGTGAATTGAGTTTTCATTAAATATTTTATGCAAAAAAAATAATTAAAATTAGCTGTCATGGAGACGGCCGACAGAAGTAACAACTTATAAATTTGGAATAAGTGTGTTTTTTTAGTTTTAAATAAAATTGCAATTATGTCTGGTTTTCGCACTCCAAGCAATAATTATTTACATTTTGATATAATTTATTTATTAATCAAAACCGCTGCGCTAAACTGCGTCGTCACGTCACATGTAGCATGTTGGTGACGCGAACCCATAAGTTTTGCCCCTACCAAAAATCGCTCAACGCGGCTAAAGAAGTTTTCGCTTCAAAATATCATTGTTTTTTAAATTAAGTACACGTTAAAGCACAAAATGCAACGGTAACACGGTAGCGTTAAATAGGTAACTGACACTTGACACAACGATTTAGTAACTAGTTATCACATACATCGAAATATACATGCATCGTGTTTGTGATTCGTGTTTTAAATTTTAATAAAATAAATATAATTATGTTAAAAAGATCTTTCATTTTTATCCCTCATGAAATTTATACTTTTATTTTATGTTCATTATATTAATAACATTTACATAGTATAAAATGAAGTCGCTTCCGCTGTCTGTCCGCTTAGATCTTTTAAACTACTCAACGGATTCTAACGCAGTTTTCAGCAACAGATAGTGATTCAAGAGAAAGGTTTATAGACATATAATATATACATATAATTTGTATTTCATACTAACCGTCAAAACGTACCTAGTTTTATAAATGTTTCATGAATAATGAATAAAAAAATATATAAAACAATAAAGTTTTAAATTTGACCAATAAAAATAATAACAAAACTCATAAATACCCAAAAGATATTGTATACAAAAAGAAGCTAGAAAAGGCAAGCTAGGTAGTCTTATCGCTAAAATAGCGATCTCTTCGAAACAACCTTTCCAATTTATGCTTCAAACATAAAAATATGCAGAAAAATCAAGTGTTAGATTTATGGAATTCTACCGTAGGATGCTTGTTTTTCATAAATCTATAAATTTATTGAGGCTATACATATAAATTATTGAAATCAATCAAATAAAAATATATATAAGCCGTTCTTACTCATGTTATGGAAGAGAAGCGAAAAATTTACCACTAACAAATGTATCTGATATTCAGATCATCAAATTACTCTCGCAAAGGAATAAATTGCAATAGGAATTAAACAGCATAAATGACTTTGTCATTGGTATCACGTATCATATGTAGGAGTTAATTAAAACAACATTGTTTTTAATATTGTTTTATTGGTGTACATGGTTATGCATTATAATAATATTTTATCAATTGTTAATTCATTAAATTATGGCACTTAACACAATAATACTATAATATTAAACAATACATATAATGGATGATGAATGTCTAATCGAAAAGTACGATGATGTTCGAAATAACTTACAAATATTCGGAATAATTTCTCAGTCGTTCGTAGAGTTTCGTATTCTAACGAGTCTCATTTTTATAATTTTTTTTTTTATATAAGAAAATAAAATCTAAATCAATTTTAACTCATTGATCCCAATAGCAATTAAAAAATATAAATAAAATTAACACGTGAAGAACATAATAACTTAACCGTTTGTACCGACGAGGGCGCCCACCACCGGCGGAATGAGCGCGCAGGAATATCTATTATAATATCGTTTATAAAAATTAACTTTCAACATCGTTACATACAAACCGTCGATAAAAACTTACATCTAACAAACTCCTAACATTAACAGACGCGCTGCTGCAAGCGGTCGCAAGCCTCAAGCGAGCCTCGGCTCTTGCACTACGCGAGCAGAACAAAGTCGTAAATGAAAACCGCTAGGGAAAATAAATAAGCCTTCTGTATATTTAAATTCAACTCTTAAAATGGACTATATTTATGTATTTTAAAATTGCTATATTATTGTTTCAATTACGACTTTATTCTACGAAGGATAATAATATTTTAAGGCATAATTTAACACCTAATTATCTATTAGAGATTTCCACGAGTATGATACATAGAAGCGTCCGGTACGAGTAAGTATGACGGTAGAAGCGCACGCACACACATAATTAAACTCTTTAACATACAAAGGCCACATCACATCATTCAGTCACAAAGCGATTACGATAGTGGTATTTTACAAACGTATAATGATCATATGAGACTACTATAACATTTTAGATCTAATTATTGTTTAATTAAACTCTATGGTACAGTCACGCGGTCTATAGGAGACTCCTCGTTTTTTTTTAAACAGATAAGTATCGATCACTATGTGAGCTTCGAGAAGGACGCCATATTTTCTACGATAATTTTCCTAACACCGATGTTGTGACAAGCACGACGGACTATTAGAGGAACTGTATCGTGCATTAATTTTTTCGTTACAAATTTTGATCTTTTATTTTTCTACGATTTTTTTTCATATAATATTATTTACACCATACAAATTTACATAAAACGAATACTGACGTTACGAGTACGATACGATTATATAAGAGTATTATTTTAAATAACGTCCGATAAATCGTCACCCTTGAGCAATACGACATACCAAAATATCATTTCTATTCCCGGCGTAAAGCGGTGATATGATTTATTATCACAATAATTGGGTAACTTAGCGTAAAGCGAAGTAATACGTTTAGAGTAGGATCCGTTACGACAGGTTTAGATTTTTTTTCTAGGGCTTATGGAAAGTTTGTCAAATTTCGTCCTTTCGAAATGGAGTCGAGGAGCGAGTGTGGAAGGTTGCATGCGGTTAGATACGGCGAGATTGTTAAACTCCATCACCCATTAAAGAGTCAATATACGAACAATAATAATGTAGAAAAAATAACTTTCCCCTTGTACATATACATTATCATTTAATATATGGTAATGTAGGTGTAGTAGAAAGCCGGGAGTGGAAGATTGGTGGAGGGTGTTAATACTGAAACCACGTTAAAGCTTCCCACAAGTACGAAAAATATAGTTTTTACGATAGAATAGGTTTTTATCCGTTTGTTTAGCCACAAACCGTTGAAGGAAGGCATTTTGGAGAGGCCGCATGCGATTAGTCACCAAGTAAACGTTATCAAGTTTGTAGCCCAATATCAAACTAGTAATTGCCCATAGCTACCAGTTTCGTCCCTAAGAACCGGACAGACACATCATATACATATATAAACGCCCTAGAAGATTAAAAATGACTTTATTTGGTATGATAATTATGTACATACACGATTTATATCCGAAGACACTTATAATACATTATATTTAGACATCAATTCCCATTAAATTTAACTAGAAGTTACATCAGGCGTCCTTCTCTCCGCGCCAGTGACCCTTTAGAGTAACATGGAGTTTGCTCATACGAGATTTCTTAACACAAGTAAATATATCACATCCCATTCCGGGAATATTTATAGCAAATGTCGTGAATCAAAATGCGTAGTCGAAGTACACCCGCGATAAATACTCCCACAAGTGTGTTCTTATAACGACGTTACGTATATACAGTTCCGAGTCGTGCCTTAAACGTAAGACTAGATTTTACTACTGAGTTAGAAATGTGCGAATTAGTGATGTCAAATATGGCCGTCGGATAGAGATTGTCGTGACGGGTACTAGATTAGTCAAAGATTTTTTTTATCCAAAAAAAAATAAATACTTAATACATGTCATAAAGGTAAAACTTATGGGAAAAAAATGAAAATAAATAAATAAAATCACAGTCACGAGAATCTCTGGCCGAGGGCCTTTCCTAAGATTTGGGTAACATCAAATTTATTTACTAGAACATCCACAATCCGTTTCTATTTACAATATCCGATTCTCTCACTAACCGATAGGTATATCAACAGTACGACACATTCACTTCACCAAGTGTTCACTGGTACCGGCCAGTAGCCTCATTGGACGTTACCCACATTCGGCACTAATGTTTGCCGTTGGCGGAGACCCGCAGAGGGCGCCACTGCGGCTGCCAGTCGGGCTATGTCTGCCAATATCAGAAATCCTCCAAGAGAACTGCATCCCGTGGGACCAAGCCTTTTTGATCCCCCCGACAGCATAGCAAGTATTGATCGTCGACTTCTAGAATAAGTCGCAATCTCTCCCCCTCGTTGAACGCCAAGTGCCCTGAATCAGTGGGTAATCTGTGCCAAAGCGTTCTGACGTATCTGCAACGAGATAGATATGATTTGTTTATATAAGCTGAATTATTGTAATGGTATGTGCTAATTTTGTGCTTCCCATTACATTGTATGTAAATTTTATTAGCAAAGTTTGGATTGAATTGATGATCTAAATAATTAAAAATTAATAAATACATTATTCCACTAATTATTATTTCTTGGTTCATTACTAAAGTCAAATAACTTTATTACAAGAGAAGTAGGTATGTGTGTATTTAGTAGTAGGTCGTGAGTTCGATACCTATAATATTGTTTATTTGTTGATAATTGATATTATATAATTCAGCCCTAAATTATGAATACTTTCTTTCAATAACAGTTAATAGTACCTAATCTACTACATACACGAATTATGACGATGAAATTTAACATATATGTAGATAGACAACATACTATGAGGCGCGCGTAACTTATAAAGACTATAAACATCACTATACAGGTACACACGCACCTGTGCTTCTGCGGCGTGCGGTGGTGCTGCGCGCGCGCGGCCGAGGAGGAGGCCGCGCGGCGCGGCGCGGGCGGCGGCGTGCGCCCGTACGGCAGCGACGCCGGCCGCCCGCCCGCGCCGCCCGCGCCTACGCCGTCCACGCGCGACGCTCTGTACACGGAGCGGGACATTCGGTCAATTAGGCTACTGTTATATTATATGTATGTAAGTATGTGACATTTTTCGTGTGTATGTGTGTTTTTGTTACTGGGTAGATTGGTAGTCTTACGGTCGATACACACTATAGTGCTGACCACAGTCCAGTCTCTCTCAAGACATATCGGTCTGGTAAAATATTGTTATGTATACAAGAAAGAATGAGTGCATTCACACTATCAGTAAGAATCACGTTGCGGTCAAATCACACTCTGGCAATATTTCTTGTATAAAAAACTTTACCAGACCAATATCGAACCGAGAACGGACTGTGATCGGCACTATAGTGTGGAGCGGCCGTAAGTTGCTGGAGTGCGATTGTACCGGAATTGATGGGGGGCAGTGTGCCATGCGGATGGCTTCTAGTACTTCTCAGATAGCAGAGTAGACTGTAGAGCAACCCCATGATTGTTGTGGTCTGCTTCGGCAGACCTGCAGTCGGGGCGTCGTAGTCGAGTGCGTAAGCGATCCTGCGACGCCCCATTAAGACGGGGAAGGTTCCGTAGGGTTTTAGTGGGTAGTACTGGCTTTGCCGATAAGTCCCACACCTCGTGCCTAAATGCATTAAGTCGTGCATAGATATGATCGTACATAACAAAAATTATATCTCTATAGTTGCCCTTATCCTGCTTAGGAATCATACACCAGGGAAAAACATTGTCACTTATTAATAACCTTTTAATAACGGTATCGGTAAATTACTGTTCAAAACTTGATTTCTATATTGTTATCACACAACTGAAGTGATGAAGCATAGCCAAAATTAATATACCCTAAAATATCATATTATACAAATTATAAATATTTTGTCGCTTTTTTAACTTTTTACAATTCTTTAGCCTACTCCCACCTATAAGAGGCAATTATTTTCATTTTTTAACAGTTTTTAGCTTTTTAAGTCAGTGTGACCGTGATGCTAAATTACATTACATAACTTGCTTGTTTCCAATCTGATACCATCTGTTACTCATAATGGGAACTTTCTCTCTTTATATTGTTGAATAACAATCAAATATCGTAAAAAACAAGATCACACAAGAAAATCAAGAAAGAATAACGAAGTAATCTCCTCATTTTGTTAAGGGTCATCACAAAGTTTAAACTCTTATTTGGCTTTTTTCCCAAAGAAATCTATTAATAATAATTTGGTATCATTTGAAAGACTGAACTACTGTCATAATTTGTTTATTATGTACCAACGTAAAAAAACTATCAATGAAAATTTAAATAATTAGGATAAAACATGTTAACTTTTCTCACTTATAAAAACCGTGCAATCATGCAGTTAAATATTAGTTAGAAGAGAACGTAATTGAACATTAGTACACTTAAAATATTGTTATTATGCCCCATTTCATAAGAAATACATACGTAGATTTCTTAGCAACGATAGTGTTTTTAACAGCAACATTTTTGACCCTTTGACTTGTTTTCTCCGCGGCTTTCCTTGTTGCCTTCTCGGGTATAGCTCTGAAGCGTGCATACATATAACATAATACTTATTGTGCTGAGATAACATATAATAATATAAAGACCAACACCATTTTTACGAAATTTTTATTATAAATACAGAATTTGAATGAACGTTGAAATAATATGAAGAGTATTTTCTAACACTAATTGTTTTAAAGAATTGAATAATAAGCATTTAGAACATATAGCTAGCTGTTCCTATCTATAATAATTGTATGTTAATGACGAACATTGAAAATAATTATTCCTTCACCATATCTATTTAAATGAAAAAAAAAATGTATAAAATGCTTATGTAATATAAGAAATTAATATCTTTAAACGATATATTTTATGATAGAAATACAATTTTTATTATTAATATTATTCCTACTAAGTCAATAAATCTTACCTATTAGCCGGTTGCGGGGGCTTTTTGTTAGCATTTGTTCTGCCTGTGGTGTTAGTACGAGGGGCTGACGCTGTAGGCGATGTACTTTTTCGAACTGGTACTGGGATACCTCTGTGAGAGAAAATAATAATAAAATACAACTTTAAATATATAGCCAAAGACAAGTATGTATGATGTAAGTAGCAATAGTTAATACTTTCTCAACTTTACGACAATATTTGACGTTTTAAATAAAACTATCTTTTGGGATTTTTTCGCGATTTATTTTGATTTAAGCAGTAGGTTCTTATTAATCGACTTCCAAATAGGAGGAGGTTCTCAATTCGTCGGAATCTTTCTTTTAATGTATGTTCACCGATTACTTGAAGACGCCTGAACCGATTTGGAAAATTTTATTTTTTGTTTCGTAGGGTATACATCCCAGGTGGACCCATTTAAATTTTATCAAAATCAGTTGAGCGGCTTTTAAAAAAAATCAAGAATAAATTATTGTTTTTAAATAAATTGCTTAATCGAATATTTTATTAAAACTTTCTTCTTACAAATTACCTGCTTATTACGTCTATACTAAAAATGGAAAAGCAAAAACTTCGAAGTCGGTGCTAGCCGACAATATTGTAAGATACTCGTATGAATACCTATTTATAGGTACATAAATATGATTAGGTATGAACTGTAATTATAGTTAAAATATTAAAATATTATATTGCATTGCCCGCGGCTCCGCCCGCGTTCAGATGACCAAAAACCAAATTTTTAGGTTTTACGTATTAGTATACTCTTACATTGCAGTTTTTATATTTTTTCTCAGTTATGAGACATTTTCTCGCGATAAAAAGTAATAGGTTGACCCGGATAACCAGCTATCACCATATCAAATTTCATCAAAATTCCTCCAGTGGTTTTTCTGTGATGTGGTAACAGACAGAGAGACAGGCAGACAGACAAAAATTCTAAAAACTATAGATTCGGCCTCTGTATCGATAATAATGTTTATTTCAATAAGATTTTCCAAAAAATATTTAATGTACAGATCCAGCTTATTTACAATTTTATTATATGTATAGATTTGCTATGCATCGGCTCGCGCCGACTATAAAAATATTTGATTAGGTATCTATTCTCAATGAAAACCCCCGTTTAGTATTTTTTTACATTTTAGTGCCTGGAAGTCGGTTTTTTATTTTTTTTAATCTCTGTTTTATACCTGTTAATAGGCTAACGACGGAACTGAATAACCTATCTGTACGTCATTTTCTTTACTACATTTGACATAAGCTCTATACAAATTATGTCAAATTGAAATTATTCTTTTTAGTAAGAACAACAGATATCTATGTAGGATTATTATTGTTATCTATGTAGAATTATTGGGATTCACCGTTAGTGGCTGATATTAACATTTTTTCAGAGTGGGAATTGAACACGCGAACTTTACTCGGTCGATATTCAATAGTTAGATGAATTAGTCGCTTGAAATAAAAATATTTTGTGTTTAAAATCTTATAATAAATCATAAAAGCAATCTGCCCATCAAATCACAAAATCGAAATATCCTATAAAAATGTGTATACTTATTGTCAAATAAAATATTTTTGTAAATACATATACACACTGTGAAAAACATATTATGAATCTTCGATAAGGTTATGATGTTTGCATACAAATATTTGACCTTTGATTAATGGGTGTCGATAACAGTTTCTTCAAATCGCTATCGTATATAATATTTACATATGTAATTCAAAGAAAATAAATTGTTTTTATTACTATGTCACACTATAATGAAATTATTTTGATACTAAGCATTGATACTCGTAGTCTAGTACTTAAACAATAATCTAATATCTAACAGACTAGACTGAGAGAATTGACGGGTTATTGAACTCACGAATATTGACAAAGTAGGCATTGCCAGCAATAGTAGCAATTACATGTTGTCGTATGTTGCATTCTTACGTAATATTTTGCATAGTTCATATATAATGAAATTCGTTTATTATTAATCGGAATAAATACCGTTTTTTTCATGCCCTTTTACATTCATAGAGTAAGCCCCACAAAGAAAATTTCTCACTATGAAAACTTAAAAAGAGGTCACGTATTATATTCATTATTCATTCGTGCTTTACAAAACACCAACGGGTTGTATTTAATAATAAATCTCGTCCCTTTAACGAGGTATATTTTTGAAGCAAACCAATTTATAAGTTCGCTGACATGTCGTTGTGAATAAGCTATTAAAATAGAACACGCTGTATGTGTATTTTATTGTAAAATGATTTTTTCTTTATGGTAGACTTTTCTTCTATAGATTGCTCGAAATATCTCGCAGATTGGCTTCTTTTCAAAACACTCATACTTAATATTTCATCAGCAGTTAATGATAACTTTTAAATGTATTTAATACAACTAGAATAACTTTTAAATGACCTTGATTATATTTTTAAGTAGCATTTACCCGCGGCTATGCCCGCGCAGTTTTAAATATGGTATTTCATAGAGACTACCAAACCCTTTTATCCCTTTAAGTGTTAAATTTTTAAAATTCATTTCTTAGCGGATCTACCCGCCAAATTTTAAAGTTTATAGCCATTTAAAGTTTATACTTTCTGACATTTAGTAGAGTTAGAGTATTTTAGAGAGTAATTAATATTTCGCTTTGATTTATTTAGATTGAAAGAAATTGATTATATTTAACACTTATTCAGTTTCATAAAATATCTATTAAAAAAATTTTAACACGATTCCAAAGGGGTTTATTAAAAATTAACTTTATATAACAAAACAATAAACTATAAAAACTCTAAACATAGCATACCTGTGCGTGTTCTTCGCAGGCGACTGTATTGCGGGCGCTTGAGGTCGCACAGGGGATGACACCGGCCTTGGGATCTTAGATCCTCGTGCGGTTGCTGGCGATGTTTCGCCTAGAAATAAAAATAAATACATACAATAAAACAATACATGAACTTCTTCGTATTTTCCATTTATTTAGTAGAGTAAGTTTTTGTGTTAACTGATTTTGAAACATGCAAGACAAACCGAGAGGTTCCATTATTATATAGATATCATGTCCATCGTGTCTAAAAACAACATTCCAATTGTATGAGTGCTCAAATTTCTAATTTTAATTGGAGCAAATGGTTAATGGGTATTAAAAATGGAGCACTCGACATGATCTGCACATCTGTCGCGACGCTTATCATATTATTTAGGGGACGAATAGTATTTACAAAGGACATTTGGTCATCTCTACAATAGAAACGTCCGGCACATTTACGAGATAAATTATTATTTCGGACAAATGAATTGTTTCTATTTGTTTTAAAATGCAACTACGAAGTTGTTTTCAGCGTTATATAAAACTTCAGTTGAAAAAATGTAAAACAAAACCCGATTGTGTTTTATTTTTACGTAATACACTAATTTGTTCCAGCAATGATGCCATTAAACCGAAAACTTTGTCGAGTTGAATCGATATATTTTACGACCGTCATAATTTTTCTTTAACTTTTCCATAAAGTTGTGTATTAAAAAAAATCCGTGATAAAGTTTTTGTAGGTGTAAGTTAACGGTATTAGATCCGCACGGAAGTTGCCATTTTGCGTGTTGCCATATTGGTACGTCTTTCATTGTTTTATATCCGAGTTTATCAGTATGCGTGAAGAGTTAGACTTGATCGAGAACTGATAAAGTATGGATTATTCGTATAGCAATAGTTGTCCTCAGATAAATAAAAAACATTAATACATGTATGAATTGTAAAGAAATATTTAAATTTTAAAGTACAAAAATCCATTGGCATTGTATTAAGATTATCAACGTATTACCCTCATTTACATTGGAATCGCTTTTGTTTGTTTTACCAGTATTATGATGTGGCAAAAATGCAAATATTTATAGTTGCAGAATATAAAATCGCGTCTTAAAGTTGTCAATCTTTAAACGAACAAAGCAATCTTTCTTTCACATTTATTGTTTTTCGTATGAACAATTTTATGGTACCTTTCCGTTTTAATATTTTTTTGTCTCATCTAAAGCAGGTGTATGCAAAGAAATATTTTTTTTTGTCATTTAGAAAGTCCAAATGTTACTATACCTATAGTTAATTATTACGAAACGTTTACATGAATATTTATTAAAATTCATAAAGCGAAGAATTTAAGTGTATGTTGATGGGTATTATTTCGATACTCTGGACGACAGTCTGGTTGTCGCAAGCACAAGTTTCGCTCGGAGCAAATGTTATATTGTTCATATAAATATAAATCGCCATCTGGATGTTTATCTATGTGTAGTACTGCCCCAATTGTTATATTTGGCAAGAATAATGGTCAGTTTAATACCTTCCTCATCTATATTATGTTCCGCTATTACTTACCAGAGGGCGTGACAGGGCTTTCAGCGTTGCTCAACATCTCCCATTTCAGTTGCAACCGACGGAATTTTCCACCGGAATTGTTGCTATTCCCAGTTTGCCCACTCGCGCTGCTGTTGGCAGAACTGGGACGCCATTGTTCTTCGCCACTTGTGTCTAACTGTTTTATATTAATCAACTATTAGATAATTGGACAATTTTATTATATAAGCTGTTGCATGCTTGTGAAAAAAATTGCATTAATAATAATGTTATATAAAATATAAGAAAACTGTATTATTTTATATTGTTTTAACACTCTCTTAGCTTTACTGATCCATTTAAATGCAATTTTTCTCCACACAGAATTCCTACAAATCGTAAATAATAAACTAAATGTAGTATACAAACTGCCAAACCCTAGTCATAATACGTATTAGGAACCTAAAACTAAAGGAAATATGAAGGGGGATACCAACTTACATCTATTTCATTCTAATCTAGTTAATTTTTGAGATTAAATTAAAGAAATATATCATTAACTCACTAACGACTCGATGTATATTGTATTCTATTAATTTTATAAGTTTTTTGTTTCTAGATTGTTAAAATCTAAATTCTAGTAGTATTCTTCTAACAAATCAATAAATAACAAAATCAATTTTATAAACAACAAACAAAGAAATCAACCATGTAGTCATTTAAGTGTATCCATGCATATTTGCTATTATTGACGAGTTAAGTAAACTATACATAAACCGCAAGTTATATGGTAAACCCTATAGCGTGACACCGATAGAGTTTCCTGTTCACCTGTGACTTATATAAGCTCGATTTATGAAATATGATGAGCACACATTCGACAATAATAAGTATTTATGAAATAAAATGTAGCATTGCACACACTGAAAAAGTTAAAATACAAATAACGGGAAAAACATAGTGGAAAATAACGAGAAACTAAAATTAAATGCACACATTGACAATCGTTAAATACAAACAACGGTGAGAAGCATAAAGCAAATCCGAAATGTGACCAAACAAGGCTACCAAACAAGCACATGGAATCCCTCCAAGTTACCTTCAATTCGTTGCCAGTCGTTTTAGCGGAGGGTTTATTGTTTTCAAGGCTATCTGTGTAATCATCACTGTCGTCAAAAACTAATCTGTCAAACGCTTGCATTAATTTCGATCCCAAATGGACTCCTGACCATCTTCTATTCTCTAATTCGATCCTACTATTGTTTGGACATATGTCGTAACCTACAGGAGTCGGGTTAACGCAAGACCTCGGTCTATTTTTGTCGACAGTGGTTCTAACGTTTGCCGAATCATTTAGTAAGTCGGGTGTGGATGGTTCCTTATTTTTGGGTTCTTTGTGCCTCATGATTACGCTAGTTTGGTACTCGTCACTTGAGACGGCGCTTGATTGCATGGAGCGAACCAACTTCAGCAGATTCCTCTGGTTCAGGGTTAATGGCGGAGTGTTAATCGAGGTGGGCTGTTAAATACATCAAATCTTTTAGAACATGCGACCGTTCGTTATAATGTAACGTCCTTGAATTATATTGATCGGCAAAGCCTTATTTGCATTTTATGGAAGCTGTGCACGATAAGTTCGTTTTGCGGTGAAAGCACATGCAATGAACGATAAAATGCAAATAAAGCGATGTTTGATCGGAATTGCGCAGTTAATGTGATATCGATGCACGAACGACACATTCCATACTTACTTTTAATATTAAATGTTAGCTTTATATAGAGTTCACTTACCCGGCTAGCTGCTCGCATGTCACTTTCTATTTTCTTAAAGCTTCGATGCAATTCGCGCATTTCGAACATGAGGTCCAAGGAAAATGGTAATAATTTGAGTGGTTCGAGACTGGCCAGTAGTGTATCTAGGAGGGCCCTACAACGTGATTCACCAACACAACCGGCCAGAATGAGAGAATCTGGATCATAATGTTTCGCCAAAATTGATTCCCTTGTCCGAACGTATGACACCCATGCGTCTACTGATTGCGCGCTAAAATTATTTGAAAGGTTTAAATAAATTATATGAAAGTTTATTGTAGTTCTAATATTTTTCATAATTTATGTTTTGATGTCCGAATGAAGTATAAAATATACGAATAATATTATTTTTAGCAAAATAAAAAATAACAACCCCCTTAAAATACAAGTCAAATTACTTACTTAAGTAGTCCCAAAATGAATGCATTGAACTTGACTAGTCCTTCTGTAACGGCATCTTCACTGTTTATTCTTAAAACCAGCTCATTTAAAGATTTTGTTATGGGACCTGAAATGACATAAACATTTAGTAACATGGCTTTGATTTTTGTTGCTTCAAATAAATTCAAAGTACAAAGTTTAAAATAAAAAATGATAAGATATATAACAAAAAAGTTAATTATTTTCATCCATATTAAAGTCATCATTTTTTTTAATATTATGGTTCGTTGATTCATACCTTGTCTGGCTGTAGCTTCGACCATTTGCCAGACAGAATTATTGACGGCCCCAAATGAAGTCTCGATGTTTTCCTTCAAACCGTCTCTGAATATCGCATACAAAGCAGGACATAACGCATTTAGAGCGATTTTAGCGCAAGCAGGCGATTTCTTTGAATCTCCTAGAAACGCTAATTCCGTTTGATCCGTTGCGGGAGAGAAATGCTGAATCAACATCTCCACAGCATCCGTTACGTTTGATACTAAAGCTGAAAAATAATAAATATTAGAAAACTATAATTTTCGTCAAAAATGCCATGTTTTGAAAATCCTAATTAAAATTTACCTCTCTTTTGGGATACATCGATAAGATCGTATTTTTGTCTCGCTTCATTAGTAGGACTTGAAAATTCATCGGGGGTCACTTCACCTTCTTCACAAATAGGGATTTCAGCCAAATTTTTACCCTAAAATGATAAGTGAATCTTTTAAAAATCTAATTTGCATTAGAATTAGCTATTTCAGATTAATGAATAGCTAATGAAAAAGCTAGGGATTAAAATGAAACATTCACGTGTTAAAAATAAAGTGTAGATGAGCTCAAATAATGCGAAAAATGCAGACTTAAATAATAAAAGAAGGCGGAATGTGAAAAACAACTAAAAAAAATAAAATAATACTTACAGGCGCTAAATGGCTCTATGATGCAGATTGAATAAAAGTAAAATGTTACCTGATAATGCCTTTGCGCTACCATGGCAGATATATTAGGAGAATTAGGCGGTGTAGAAAGAGTAGTTACTTTTAGTTCATCCACTTTCGTCTGAGTTTGATTCTCAGTTTTCGTGTCACCTTTTTGGGCAAAGCTTACAGATTTTTTACTATTACAACTGCTAGTACTAGAATCTGTTGATCTTTGATTTTCTTCCTGTGAACGTTTCATTTGGAGGAACTTCGTAACTTGACTTCTTACCTTTTGTACTTGAGTCTGATCCCATTCATCCATGTTTTGGCAGTTGATACCACTTTGCTTGAGAAACTCTTCTAATTGTTGTAAATCTGCACTGCTTATAAGCGCTCCGGGAGGTGGAAACTCTATATATTCTATTTTCTTCGTTCTCGGCTTAGGAAGCGGCGGTGTATGTGGTCGGTACTTAATTTCGTTAGACTTTCCAGATTCTAAACTACTTTCCGTACCAACTCCTTCATCTTGGTAGTACTCATTATAATCCGCATCCTTTTCAGCAGCATCAAGAAACTGTTGCGATAATCTTTTGGCTGCTAAATCATTATTTTTTCTGTAATCCATATTAGTTTGATTCTGAAGATAATATGGTTCTTGTAGCGACCTTCTTTTACTTTTGTTTTCCACTGCAGCCGTGGCGCAGACTATAGGATCTTGTATGAATTCATCCAACTCAAACATGCTGTATCGTTTTGTATGTACGCTAGATTTTCGTGTTTTTTCGACGGATTTGCGCAAAATGCTCTTTGGCAATGGTGGTCTTGGAGGTGCTAATTCTCCTTTAATCATCCTGTTTTGCTCTGCTATTGACAACGTTCTTTTAGGGATCGTAGGATTTATTCTATGACCTTCATTGTTTACGCAACTTGCTTCTGAACTAGTAGCGCTGTCATAGCGGTATACGAACAATGGATTGAATGCTCCTGTTGGTGCTGGACTGTTTTGTGCAGAAGAATCGGTAAGCATCGTTGAAGATCCTCGATAGCCAGAAGACGGTTGTGTTGCTGTACTAGAGCTTGATGAAACCGCTGTAGGGTGGCCAGTCATATTATTACAATCACAACTTGTTGGCCGATTCTTTGTTTTTGCTGTATTACAGTATTTATCACACTTACATGCCACGTCTTTCTCTTTCATGTGTTGCATTAGTTCAGGCACTTCAGACAATAATTGCCTACATTCGACAGGTAATAGGAAATTTAATGAATCCCAATCCTTTATATGACCGAGACCTTTCTTTTTGAGCAACTCCAGATCGTTACATGAAAATGGCCGTTTACCTTTCGGTTGCATTCTATTTCTTTTACTTTCATTTGACTTGGGTATATTTACTTTAACAGGATTTAGATATATATTAGGTCTACCATTCAAAAAACCTATATCTGGTAGTGTATAATTTGGATATAAAACAAAGACAGGTTTTTCACAATCGACTTCTTTTAACTTTTCAAGAAAAGAAGGTTCGATAACTTTGAATATTTCACGATCACGTGATACGCCTGACACTTGCATGTTGGATGTTTGTATACTTTTATCCAAAGTGGTTGCTTCGAGATGTGTAGATGTGGCCTTAGTGTCACATGAATCCTTTTGTAATGCTCTGTTCATTCTTGTTATTTGAGTTCCATCTGATTCTGAACAACTAGAAATACTGACGCTTGTAGCAGACGACTGTGATGAACACGATTTTCGGTTACTCCTGAGTTTTGAGGGACTATTTGAAATGTTTAAGTTTGTTCGTTTTATATGCGGCTTATTGACTACAGCATAGAGTTGAGTTTCATTATCACTTTTAGATCCATCTGCTTCTTCTTCTTCAATTAACACTTCATCATATACTCTGTTGTAGGGATTAGATGATCGAATTTCCTCATAGACAACGGATGAAGTGTCCTCAAAAGCCTCAAGTGGTAATTCGACTTGTGGCCTTTCGGCATTTTTTAAGCTTCCAAGTTTTTGTTCAGCCATTGACTCCCCACTTTCCCCACCTGAACTGGACGGCCAACATTCTGATCTATCTAGCTGGTCCATGCCAACGATACCATCATTACTAATACTTTTTTGTTTCATAAACAATTTAACTAAGTTAAAAGATTGCTGTTTTGTTTGACTCTTATCTGACGATGTTTGATTTTCGGTTGAAGATGTACTCATTGGTTCAGAATGTTGACTTCCATGTGACGAACGATTTTGTGAAACATCGTATACCTTCATACAAGTAGATGTTCCAATTAACCTCTGGTTAGCTGAGAAAGAATCGACCTACAAAAGAAAAACGTTTATCAGTAAAACAAATAATGCAATTTTATTGGTATAATTAGTTGTTTATTAGCACGTTTGCGCATACTTACAGTTGAATTACTTAAGGCGGCAGAGTTAATGGAACTGCTTAACAATTTTCGTCTATATAAATTTGGTAAACTTTGACTTTTAATTACAGAATTATTCATTTCACTTGTTGTATCAGAAGGTTCAGTAGAATCTTCATTATTGTTACCAGAAGGATGCCTATAATACAGAAAAAATATATACAAACATTCAAGAAATGACAACAATAATAATTATTATATATTTGTTTCATTTTTATACCTCTTTAACGGCGATTGACTATTTTGTTTCTTAAGTTTACTCCACGTAGTTAATCCTAAATCGCTTCTAGCCATTGACGTTGTTAGCTTATTTGTTAATTTCTTACATCGTTCTAATAATTCTAAATTCCTGCGCGTTCGTTCATCACTATCTAATGTTAAATTTATGTCTTCCTTAACCTGTTTGTCTGAAAAACGATTAGCAAAGTCAAGTAAGAGCTTATCATGAATTACATAGGCTAAATGAATCACTATTTCAGCTGCGCAAACATTGTGTCATCGCAAAAATACCTCACAATACAATGGTATAAAATACCTATAATAGCAAATTACCATGTTTTTGATTGACGGCGGGTTCAGCACACTCACTATCCTCGGAGTAAATGGTGAGACTTCCCTCAAAGGCGATGGTATAGTTATCTTTATTTGCTTGACACGTTAGAATAAGCTCTTGTTCTGTTGGTAGTTCACAGTCGAGACTGTCGACGCTGAAGTGTACACCATGTGCACCTTCTTTTACCGGAGAGAATAATAACTCCGATTTGCATATTGACATAGTATTGATGGAACCGACGGATTCTTCTCCCTGTGTATAGAAATTGCAATAAAATTTGTGGAAGAGATACTGTTTTATTGTAATTTAAAAATGTATCACCTTATACTTTTTTTAGTTTTTTTTTTATATACCTATACTCTCTTCTTTTGGGTGAACAACAAAATGTTTTTTTATAGTTTTTAGGTAGACTTAGGTTTAGATTCTAAAATTCTTCGACACTCTGATCTATCATCATAATACCTACACTATGATAACTATGTGATATATTTTACGAGTATTGTGCCACAGTGCACGCGTTTAAAGTTCCGGGAAGGTTTCGAAATGTAAACGAGTTCGTTGGAACATAAACATTTGATCATGCAAGTATATTTTAGGCGATGGTAATCCTAACAAACAGAATTGAACAATTGTTATACTACGAGTAATATTCTTTATTTCTTTTAATTGTGAATTCTTCTATACAATATGTCGATTCTCTTTATTATTTTAAAATAATACGATTTGATAACGATGTGGCGATTGACTTATCACAGTAAACATCTATATCCTCAATAGCTGTAAAATTGTCTTCATGACGAATACAAACACAATATGAACTATTGGTTCGCTTACTATCGCTTTAAATACACAACTCCGGTCGGTGGGTACTCGTTGCGGCGGGGCGTTATCAATTTAATTCCCTTTCCTGCTACAAATGAGGTCACACCTCAAACAACTATTCATAACAGTGATATGATTAAATTTTTCTTTAAACTACCCCTTATCAAAAACAAACTAAAATTTATTTTAATTACAGACAGAACTCGTTTCCTTTATACTTATCTCATTTACATATTGTATTTGTATTTATAATTTAACACAAACTAATTAAGAATAAATTAGTGATAGCACTTAGATAATATTGCAATAATTGTTAAATATTAAATTTTAAATGTTGTTAGGTAATACATATTAAACTATGGACCTGTGTCTGAATGAAAATTAAAATAAAATAAATAAAAGCATCGTGCATTTAAGATTAAATAAATAGAAGGCTACTTAAAACATGGGAAGTGTAATTGCAGAGTTATTTTTGTACCTCTCAACCTTTAAGATTCGATTAAAGCGCTAGGTAGAATCGGCGGTGTTTGTAGAAAACAGGTGTATGTATGCTCAATATAAAATCTTACTAGGTGAATATGAATGCTTTATAATTATATTATTTAGTCATTTTACTCACAGAATAATATCCATTACGGGAATCCCAATCATACTCTGTCACACCCATTTTAAATTTCAAGTAGAATTCTCTAGTCACTAATAAAAGTCCCCACTAAAACACTAAATCATTCGCCGCCAAATGGGTCCAATATTTTAACACAATTTTAATCAGCTTTTTACGTCCACTATCTACTAACTGTCAATTTCAGATTTATCACTATCTTACACAAACACAATTATTTATTAAGTCTTGTAAATTACTCGATTTGACCTTATAAATAAAATAATATGTGATAGACTTCATTGCAAATACGTCAGAGGACAGCACTCCCGAAAGCCCAGGGCGCTACTGGAGCAGCGGGGATATTAATTTTAATATTAGCCACTTCATATGCTTCTCAAACTTTTAGTTTATTTTATAATTAAATAAGCAACGCCTGTAACGCGTTCGGACTTTATACAAAGACTAACATTACTAACGACCGATCGTAGACGTCACATACAGATAATACGGGATACCTACCGAACGTTTTGAAAAATTAGCATAGAAATAGCAATTAACTTACGAGAATCTAATTAACTCGGTTAAAATGTGAGGTTTTTCAAGGCTACTCGTTTTTAAGTTGTTTTATGTAAAACAAAAATAATTGTTAAAATGTATGTGAAGCAAATGATATGAGCTTATATTATTATTTATTATTTAATAATTCAGTAAAGTTTGAGAATATCTGAACAGATTGACTTCATTGGCAACACACACATGGTCTCCGTATGTCCGTACTCCGTACTGATATACAGAAGGGATATAAATATAGCACACTCAAACACATACATACACTGAAGAGAGGATGACTGTATGAGCTAGGGAATAAAGTATGTAGTTAAACTGATTGACGCAATTCGGTGTGAACGATTCACGCACACATTAATAGTGGTCTTATTTTATCTTTACTACTCGTACATCCCGTGGAATCAAACGTACTATGGGAGCACTGTATAGGAAGTCTCGTTGTGAATGCTAGCCAAGTACATTAGACTTTCAGTCTATTTGTATAACTAAAGGCACTTTATGATTCCTCGTGGACGTTGCAGATAAAATTAGGTAATAGCAATAAAAAATAAATATAAACTTTCTTCATTATTATTATAAAGGGAAATATTTATATATTTATAATATAATATGCAATAACTAGACACAATTTTAGCAACAGGTATAATTTGAGTTTTAAAAATCTTTATGTTTATGAATTAAAGGCAAAAAATCAAAATATCACTATTTTATTAATTGTTTTTATACAAATATAATAGATACTACAATAGATGCAAAAGTCGGGTCGTCATAAATAATTCAAAACAATTTTTTTTTAGTATTAATTGACGTTGTCGGTAGCGACGTCTGTTGTAAATTCAAAGTAGCTCGTGTATATATTACTGAAAGCTAGCGATAGATGGCGTGACTGTAGTTCGTGTCAGTTCTTAATGATCTAATGCAGAGAATTGTACCAAATTAATAAGTATGAAGTACATATGCGCGGTGCGGGCATGAGCATGACAGCGTTTTATGAGGCGAATAAAGTGACAGAGATGAGACATTTAGTGCAAAGCGGCGCGAACCTGTAAACTACTGCCAGCGCTCATTGAACTGTCGAACCGAAACTTTTCCAATAGAGAACTTGAAATGCTCGCGAACATCTCGCCTTGAGGGTTACTCTGTAATACACCGTAACATGAAACCATATCCACCAAGAATTTAGTATAGAACTGAAAAATAAATAATATTATGGGAAAAGAAATAAACATATAAAAATAAAATTAAACTATAATATAAATATTTTTAATAATTATTATTCCTCCACCAGTTTTGCCTACGAATATGGTTAATATAGCAGATGACAAGTGTTACATATCAACCGGTATACAAGGCATTTGATTTACAAGAATTTATCTTACGCACGACGCCGCGGTTAACCGCTAAACTTACGCAACGTGAAATAGTGGTAGTAGTAACTTGACACCAATAAACTGCAGTTTTAAGCCTAACCACATGACACGTTCAGCATAAGATTTGATAGATACAAAGTTCATGAACAAAGCTTACGATTAAACTTCATATGGCTACAAGCAATCACGCGACTGACAGAGGCTGAAATTCGGGATTCAAAAATATTTTAAGTGTTGTTCATGAAAAATACAAAAAGATAAAAATTCAAAACATAATAGGGTGTTGCGAAATTAAAAGGGCAAAATAATGGTAGAGAACCCACGACAAGGATAAACATTTTCATAAAACTTCATTTGTGCTTTAATTACTAATTATAAAAACGAGGGCATAAATTATTTATGTAAAGTGTGTGAAGAAAGATAAATGTATGAAACTAATTTTTGTAAAAAAATATGAGCTAATATGTGCATGCTGCATAATTTGTACTTATGATTTATTCATTTCATAATACTCTTCACATTATACGATATAAATGCGAAAACAAAAATACTTAAAACTGTTTTCCTGTATCCCGTGGATTTGATTTGTGTGCATATCAGGGCTGCCAGATAACAGTCGTTGATTTACCCGACCAATAAACCTCAAAATACCCGGTTTATCCCGCCGGCGCCAACCGTGAGCAGTATACCCGAAAATAGTTTTTTTTAAGTAATTAATTCATTTTTATATAGAATCAAAGAAAGTACCTACTAATGTTAGAAAAAGAAGTCGTGTAATCAGTTCTCAATCAAACAGCTTTAAATTATTGAATCAAACATAAAAAAAAACTTGAAATATCAAATCAATCAATTTCCGCTAGTACTTCGTTTAGTAGAGTCGGAAGAAGACAATAATTTGGTTCGCAACATTTGAATACTGGACTCGAATTTCAAGATACCTCATGCTTTACGGATACCTTCCCCCAGGGCCAATATGGCAACAACATTTTCTGTGTTCAATGAGTTTCGATGAGCTGTTTTAATGGTTTTTAAATTAGTTTTATGATATTGTTGCCAGCTAAACTAAAATACCCGATTTTACCCCGCTCAATGGAAATACCCGACAATATAACCCGCCATCAAAAAATCGCCTAAAATTACCCTATTTTCGGGTAATTTACCCGCCAATTGGCAGCGCTGGTGCATATGACTCTGCTCCCAAAGGTCATTCTTTGATGTTAGCCTAAAACCTTCCTGAAGAAAGCTAGTAAATGTAATTTTGATTTATTAAATGAAATAGATAAACAGAGATATTTCCTTTTAAACAAAGAAGAAAACTATAAACATTTCTTTGTATTATGTTAAAGGTATTCAATAATGTTTCAGGTCGGTACCTAAATTCGCACATAAAAAGTTTATTTTGAGTATAAAACCCATAATAATTCATTTACTAACATTTACATTTTTAATTAATTAAATATACCAAAGACCGCTATAGTGTAGTTTTATATGAGTGTGTTTGCCTGCTAAATATGTACATATAAAGTCGAATCAATTATGTGCCGACTGTTTGTGATTTCTAATTATTATAGAATTTACAGATATACATACATAGGTTCCCTCGTAGCTGAAAAATCATCTGACAAAAATTTCACAAAAGTAGCGTTTCCAATTCTAAATCGAAATCTAATTTCAAAGCAAATAGGTATTTTTACATTTTTTCCTCTAGTAATTCAAATGCCACGTAAGACTATCGAACATATTTGGACTATTTATTGTCCAACAAAAAAGAACTCCTTCCGTTATCAAGTAAATAATAATATCCAGTCTAGGTTTAAGTAAAAACGACTTACAAGTATAGTCGTTTCGCTCGGGTGCGTAGGTTATGTGTTACTCCAGGTAATAAAGTCTATCTATAAAGTACATCCAAATCCGTCTAAGCATTTGAACATCACACACACATACATACTAACTTTCGCATTTATAATAGTAGTCTGATTAGTGATCTGTCCTGGCGTCAGTAACGCATGTAGAGCACCTTGCTTTGACTAAGTACCTGTGGTACTCATTAATATTAAATAAAATGATTCATGCTCTATATTCTAAGATTAAACTTATTCATAATTTAAGGTGTGGATTAAACTTTTATGAAACCTTTATGTTTCCATAATCGTGGTTTTAAATATGTCTCAACATTATACTCATTACACAGTAGGTAAAGTTAGACTAATAAGTTAATGACAACTGCATTTATTCACTGAGCTCTATAACTCTTGTGTATAATTATCTATAATTATACATTAATTTAAAAGTAATAAAGTAATTCTAGCCATAGGAGTGGTGTTCAGAGGCCAAGGCCGTAAAACCCGGGTTTAGAGTTAAACCTAAAAAAATGGTTACCCATTCAAAATGATTTTAGAAAAACCTTGTTACCCGTTCAATGCGTAACCCATCTTCTAGCAAATGAAAATCATTTGTAATGATAACTCTACTATAGAATTATTAAAATTATAGAAAAGGTTAATTCTATAGTCCACTTCCCACGAGTATCACATCCTTTATAAGTCGATCAATGAGGTTACCCCGAAACTTCTTTTTTGTGTACCTACTACTTTTGTAGCAGAATTAGTAGAGGGAATGGTTTTCGCTACGTACCTAATTATCTAAAAAATCCGTACATATCTGTTTCTGTTGCCGCGTATAATCTTGAGGCTCTCTTTACTTCCTTCTAATACGTAATTTTTGTAAATAATTTTAAAGTCCAATTTCATATCACATCATATCACATATTTTATTGGGTAACACCTTAGAGTATACATAAGCTAGTATACTCTAAGGGTAACACATTATAGATAGGGTAACCTATTATTTATTAGGTACATTATATTTCATTCATTTTCATTCATTCAATCCTTTTTAACGTTCCAGTGCTGGGGGTAGGCCTCCCTTCAATACAAGGGGGACCAGGCTAGTCCACTACGCTAACCAAGTGCGGGTTGGCGGACTTCACGTCTTTCAAAAACTTGCTAGATTCTATTAGATACACAGGTTTTCTCAAGATGTTTTCCTTTACCGCCGTAAGGAACGTGGTAATTGTGTTTGAAATGATTTGCACATGAAAATATCAGAGGTTTTGGCCGGGATTTGAACCCGCTTCACTCGGATTTCCAAGTGAGCGCGTTACCACTGGGTTGCCACTGCCTTACATTATATTACATTATTTCATCTTATCACTTTGTAATTATATTGCGTAAAAAATTACACTTTGTTAAAATTTTAAACTTGCTAAAAGTCTTACGTGAACCGTGACCCTGAGTTGTGCAGTGTCCGTAAAGCTTGATTTTCAGAATAAAGTAATAAAATTAAAACAGAGTGTTGCGATTTTTTGTTGTACTTGCGTCTGGTTTAGAGTATTGTATTAAAGTAGTTCTTAGAATCATGGCCTTTAAAAATCCAAGTAACGAAACATGTTATTTAAATACATTTTCTTTGGTTATTGTTATTATAGCGATATAAAGACATCATGTAAATATTTACTGTGATATACTGTACTTCGTTGCATAATATTTTATTAATGTTATCTAGTGGTACAAGAGCAAACACTAACATAGCTACGTAATTACAAAAATGCTCTTACGACATCGACAAAAATGCCGTTTATTTTGTAAATTAATTCATGTAATTCATACTTGATTTTATATGAATTTGTTATTTTCTTAATAATACGGTCTCGTACGGTTACCTTCATCTGCAAATGTTACCTTATACGGCCTGTTACAACATGGAGGATAAAGAATTCGCTTGACACATTAAAGTAAATAAATTTTATTTATGAACGCGGCATTCGATACGATATTTCGTCCTTACGAAACACCTGGTGCCTGCTTTGACAATATTTCAGGATACAGTGTACTTATTATCATACTAAATATTTTGTTTATGTAAGTTTTATATTTTTTTATAAAATTAAGACTTATGTTAGAAAATATTATTTTTCTATTGAAGAGCACGAAGATTTTGCACTTCAATAGATAAATTCTAGAAAATTCTTGTTTAATTTAACGTAGCAGTTTTTACAGATTTTTATTATTATTGAATGTTAATGATATACATATGTATGTATATTATTGCTAGTTCTTAACCTAAAGAAAAAAAATCTGTTGTATAACAGAAGTGTATATCCATATAATATTACAACAATGGTACACTAATTTACATGCAATATTTTTTTAAACTAGGTACATAAATATATATGTCCATAGAATCTAAGATGTCTCTAATACATAGTATATAGAAAAAATTAATTAAAATAATTATGATTATAATTAAAAACTAATTTTGTATTAGTTCCATGGAGTGTTTCTCTATTACCTTTACGTTGCCGAAGCGCTACGTTACACACCATGGCACACGCTCAGTAGTCAGGTATAAAAAACATATAAAAAATCTAACATATTTTATATTACAGCATGACCGACGCTGACTTCAATACATGACTATCGAGCCTTCACCGTTTTCTTATTTTAATTGCCTTATTACAACCTTGGAGGAAATTCGAAGTTCTACTTAATTTGTATTCATAGAAGTTATTGTTCTCGTACAGCAATATACAAAGCCTCTCACATTGTTAATGATAAAACTACCATTAAATGTTTAATAAACAATAAGTTTCATACGTTAGGCTTATTGAATGTTCGGTACGTGATTTTCATATAATATACTCTTACTCTACATTACGTTGTAGTTAATTTTATCATGTCGTGGTAATAATCAATTTTCATAATTACTAAAAGTTAAGTTATTCACAGACTTAAATAACTTATAAACATAATATTTATCAGTTAAAAATGTTTAAGAGTTAGAAATGAAATAAATTTATTTGTGGAATTGTAAAATGATTTTGTTATAGAATTATTATACGATTACCTAATTACTCGTAGGTTACCTATATTTTTTTATATTATATTACTATGTAATTTGTATGAAATCACCTGAATTGTTGTTAACAGTCCAACGGTATATTTTTAAAACCAGTTTCTCCGTAGAATATTACAGATAAACCAGTTGTACTGTATTTCAAGAATCGATTAAAATATTTTCCTTACTTGATACTAAATAACCTCCCAGCAAGCCAACAAGCTCCCAGTTAAATTAACTTTATCTTAATGTTTTATAAAAAGCTAGCAATACTGATTTATAATTCTTGATAAGGCGGAAATACTTGTAACTTAAGTGTTAAAAATTAAATATTCTGTGTATGTGAAGATTTTATGTAATTAAAATATCATTGCCAAGACTATAGTAGTAAAAACGGCCATTATAAAACAAACCACGTATTTATTCGATTTTAATAATACTCAACAGACGAATTCATGTCGATTTAAAGACAATTTCCTTTAATTGATGTTGCTCGAGCACTTTGAACACTTAACCAAGACCTTGGTATACTATAAAAGTTATTCCGAGTCCAAAATACTTTAGTTTTGAAAATAACTGTTTACTAACGAGAGTAAATATTTTGAAATATCTGTACTGTTAATGTATAGTCGTTACGTAAAGATTGCATACGGTGAAGCAAAGTGAAAATGTGAAAACATACCGGAGCCCTATAGCTATGGTATGCATTGCGTTTCCTAAGCTCGCCATATATGTCCTTGTAAATTATCGCGCAATGTTGCTTCACTCATTTGTTTTTTATGAAACTAATTAATAGGAAACAGGATATGGTATAAAGAAATTTTACCGAGAATGATTGAATATTTCGAAACGGTAACATCATACTTACAAATGATTGTATTTTAAAACGTATACTCACGTCATGTGTTATATCATCAATAATGGCGTCGTGGGGCAAGTCGGCGGTCAGCAAGAGAGCGTGAATGTCTTCCGTCTTGAAGCTCTCCATATCGGCTTCAGCGAGGTTTGCGTCGAGATCCCGAGCCATATCTTTGTAACGGGAGGTGAATTCGAAACGAGATGTAAGGTCGCTTATTCCCTTATACGAGGCGGATACGGACGACAAAACTGAGATGTGGTGGCACGAGCTGTCCCGAAACATCGGACTGGAAAAGACAAACAAGATCATTAGTATATGAAAGTTAAATAGTTAAGCTTATAAAAATAAAAAAATAATAATAGTTTGATGAATCTAAGGTATAACAAAGTTCCTTACAAAGTGTACATAATAGCTCAAGAACTTATTTTCCGGATACGACCTCGATAAATGTATGATAATATATAATAAGGTTTTATAAGTTTGCCGAGGAAAGTTGTTGTTACATTTGACCTTTGTTTTAAAAGTTTTGCCTAAAATATAAAGAAAAGGCCAATGCACATCATAATTGGATGACTACAACCTAGACTGCTCCGTCCTTGCCTGACTTTAACTCAATATTATAATACGTATATTAATTACCTTTACAAGTCATTGAAAAATGCTTTATCGTAAAATTTTCATTGCGACTAAACATGTATGAATCATCATATTATTATCTTCCAGATTATGGTAATGTAATACGAATTAATCTTATTTTGCGCCAATGCTAGCTTTACGTTTTTTTCATGGCGTTATATAAGTTCTATATGTATATCCAACCCTTTTTAACGTTTCACTTCTTGCCACGGATCTTCCTTAAAAACCAACGCGATAAATCAACCCGTTGGCCAAGTGCGAGTATGCGGACTTGGCCAACGGACACATGTCCTTCGAAAATTTGCTAGGTTCTCCCATAAATTGCTTACGATTTTTTTATCCACTTTAAGGCAAGTGGTAAGCATGATTAGAATGGTTCATACATGAGAATATTAAACGTGCGAGAGCAGAGATCAACCCGCTTCACTTGGTTTACAAAGCGTGTACGTTATAACTACTACTGCCTTTGTAACTAAAATTATGGATTATATCAAATTATATCTAACGACATTAAATTAGGTTAAAGTAAATTTCCTAAATAGTAGAGATACTGTAACAATACTTACTTATAGTCGAGGAGCCACAAATATCCTGAGTTATCGCAATGCGCGTCGAGATCATCGTGTGTAGAGTGTTGGCTGCCGGCGAGGCTGGTGTTGCTATTACAGTCCTCGTCGACGCCGGGGCTGGCCGCCTTCAGCCCTAGCCGTGGCGGTGGCCCTGGAACACGGAAACCCGTCACGTCAATCAACTCGTCTATAAATACATACGGAAAACAATTCGTCTATCCATTAGCTACCTTATGTAACTATGAGTTTGACTATGAGATTAAGAAATATTTTCGATTTACGTATATACATACAGCTAAATATATATACATATAATAGTTTTTAGATTAATAATAATTTTAACAGAGTTTTTTAGCTATTTTGAAAATTCATAAAATTCAATAAAAAGTCAGTAAGAAAATTTTGCTAATTTATTGTAGGTGTTATATTGTTTTTATATAATTTGAGGTAAAATATATTGTAACAATTTCTTTGAATAATAATTAGCATAGCCTCTCGTAATTAATATACAGTATACACTGAATAATATTCCCTCAACGACCGCGGACACGCCGGCGTTTCAGTTAACAATAGATTTCTTTAAAATTTAATTAATTTCTTAGAAATTTACCTGGAGGTGAATATACAAATAGGTGTTAGGTAATATAATTCGAACAAAATAAAATCTTGATTGAAAGATTGATTCAATTTATTGACATTATACCTATACATATCAGTTTAGAACCTGATATATTAAAAGCTGTTTTTATCGGACCATGAACGGTGAATGACTTTTCTTAGAAAAGTAATAAAGTCAATTTTATTGAACAATTAATAATGATGTAGTTTCGCAAGTTATAAACATGTAAAGATAGGATAACTAAAACGTAGGAGTCTTGTCCCATACAAAGCTGGGCGTGGGTGAGCGTGCTGGACGGCATGCCTTGTAGGGAATGTTGATGTTCATCCAGAGAGTAAGGAAAACAGTGTTCAATAGTGTTTATACATTAAGCATACTATAATATAAAATGAATATATCTACTTATGTTAAATTTGTTGTCAGTATTTGAATTCAATGTTATTATATGCATAGAATTTCATTTTGTTTGGGGTCAATATTCGTCACACAATGTAAGGTGAGCAGACAGTGAACTCCCCTCTGAGGCTAGTTAGGAAACTTTCTGACGTCAGCGTGACTCAATTATAAATTACGATATACAAGTACATTGCAACTGGTGCTAGTCATTCCACCATTGTTTTTGCTGTCCTTCTGAATAACCTACATATACTACACAGAATATTTTTTCTTCGCATTTTTCTTTTCGTCCTAAGTGATACATCTACTGTACACTGTACAGTGTATACCTGAATATATGCATACCTATATAAGTACCTAATCTGGTAGGTATGCATGATTGAGCATTAAGTTAATTTCATTACATTGATGATTGATCTTTCAATTCGATTATTGCATTATATCATCTAAAACATTGACAAAACGTGTTGGTTCGTTACGAGCATTTTTACTTGTAATGGCTGAGCTATAAAATCCTACGCTAAAACCTTTATAAAAACTCCAAGGCCAGTGCACAATATAAAACTTAACTTTTTATATTTTAATCAAACGTTTACAGTTTCTGCTTGGTATAGCTCATCTAAAAGCAAATGCATTGTATAATAGAATATCCACTGTTCTATGCAAATAAGTGACCTTTGTATTATGCAGATCGTTCTATTATTATTGTTAGGCTAGTTATGACTTGAGGACTTTTACTTAAGTACGCGACAGGGACGCTAGAGATGATTAGTGAATAATGAATAGATTTAATAGTTGCATCGTTGTCTGTTATATGAAAATTAACGTTTTTATTTTTCAACTAAGTATTTAATATATTTTATATAATATAATAACTACTCCTTTTAGACATAAAATTAAAATACAAGCGTTGGAAGTATCATCGACATTCCTTATATCTTGGACTAACATAAATAAACCATTAATTAATGAATTAAATATATTGCAAACATTAAACATATGGGTGACATAACGACGCCGTCCTGTAGGCGGACGCACTGCATTAGTCCATTTCTTCAATTTATGCACCCGAGAAACAAGGCGCGTCGTGGTACATTTATAACGGTCTATATTTTTCGTATAGGTGCTTAATAATATTCATAATAAAAAGTAAAGTAAAATACTTCTTAGTCATTTGTCCAAGAATCTAGCGCCTAAATTTAATTTAAAAAAATCTACGTTAAATAACCGCTTTAGTTATGCATTTAATCAGAGTTGGACCGGAGAATGCCATAGGCTACATATTTGCCGTGGTACACCGTCTGTAGCGGCGTCATCTGAACGCGGGCGGAGCCGCAGGCACTGCTAGTTTTAAATATATTTTTAATATTTTTTTTAGGAAACGCACAACTATGTGGGTTTAACCGTGTTGTGTTCACATGCGTTTAGATCATTATGCTATTCGTGTCAACATATTTTAATGTTGTTCTATTTTCTTATCTGAAACGAACTGATCTATCAAAAAGATTGTAATGTATGTTTTAGATCTATCGATTAATTCATCCTTACTTTGCTTCGATCGCAAAAAAATTCCTAAATTCTTAATATTATTTAGGAGGTATTATATGATCTGTGATACTGTTTACTACGCATGAGAATTCTACTAGCACTTCCAAATATATGAAATACTAACTATATCAAAAGTAAACATTTATATCTATAGGTACATCATATAATAAAATTGTAACTAAGCCGAATCTGTACATTAAATATTTTTTGGAAAATCGTATTGAAACAAACATTATTATCGATGCAGAGGTCGAATCTATAGTTTTTAGAATTTTTGTCTGTCTGTCTGTTACCGCATCACAGAAAAACCACTGAATGGATTTTGATGAAATTTGGTATACTGAAAGCTGGTTATCCGGGTCAACATATAGGATACTTTTTATCGCGAGAAAATGTCTCATTTCTGAGAAAAGATACAAAAACTACAATGTAAGAGTATACTAATATGTAAAACCTAAGAATTTGGTTTTTGGTCATCTGGACGCGGGCGGAGCCGCGGGCAATGCTAGTTATAAATATTTCAAAACGCATTGCGTCATTTTTGGAGAAATTTGAACTAATAAACTTTAAGTATCATTAATTGATTATTGTGACTTCAACATTCATTGTCTTTACGGTTGAATGTGCATTTCTGTTATTTTTGTCCAGTGGTGCAATCACTGTTGTTGATTTGTCATTTGACCATGGGTACCGGAAACGAAGGTCAGCTTCTCTGTTGGTAAGGTTACTTTTTTCATTATATTATTGATATTCAACTTAAGTCTAATTGGAAAAGAAAGAATAAAAACAATCCTTATCCTCTGTAGACAGGTAATTGTGCCCATTAAGCAATTAAGATATAAAAGAATCTTAAGATATTGCGTAGTATTCTTGGCTTAGTACTTTGAAAATAAAGATCTTAATTCTTACTTCCGTATACGTCGATATTACTTTTTCAACGTAACATAATAATAAAAACTTTTTAACAAAAAATAAAAACCGACTTCCAGGCATTAAAATGTAAAAAATAACTATTTTTTGTTAAAAAGTTTTTATTTTTTCATTTATAGTGTAGACGTAATAAGCAGATAATTTGTAAGAAGAAATTTTTTTAATAACATATTTGATTAAGCAATTTATTTTAAAAATATATTTATTGTTGATTTTTTTTAAAACCGCTCGACCGATTTCGAAAATTTATATGGGACCACCAGGGAAGTATACCGCTTGAAACAATAAAAATCCAAATCGGTTCAGTCGTCTTCGAGTAATCGGTGAACATACATTAAAAAAAAGATTCCGACGAATTGAGAACCTCCTCCTTTTTGAAATTGGAAGTCGGATAAAAACTAAAAAAAACTAACTTAAAAACACTAAAAAGTACAAAATAACTGATGCTGATTAGGTATCTATAATAAATAAAACCTACCAATCAGTTATTTTTTACTTTCTAGTGGTTTTTGAAGTCTGTTTTTATTTTATTTTTTGAAGTTTTTATTTTTCCATTTTTAATGTAGACATAGTAGTAGCAAAGTAAGAAGAAAGTATTTTAAAAAATTCATAGATTAAAATCAATCATCCTTATTTTCTACACCTAAGGGTGGATATATTTTTTTCAAATTTAAACGGAACCAATTTTGAGGTAAACCCTATCCAATAAAAAAACCTGGAAATTGGACTACACTGTAAAAAGTTATAAGTGGTCAAAAATAAAAAAACTAAATATACGTGTCGAATTGAGAATTCCTCCTTTTTTCGTCGGTTAAAAATATGGTCACAATTTAACTGTACAAGATACAAGATAAATATTACATAGACAACAATATGTTAATGAATTTTTGGCATTAGTTGCAAAGGCCATTTACAAGAGACTCCTATTAATATAATGGGAATCGTGACCTTATCATTAATTTTATGGGCAAAAATTTGTTGCTATAAATGTCACAAAAGAGAAGGTCAGGTATTGAACCGTGTGTTGTTACCTAGATTATTTTTAGCCTTCACTTATTGCACGTTTTTATTGGAGAAAGCAGCAAGTTAATAAAATATTGATATTTTTTTATAATAAATATTTTACTCACTGATACAAATTCTTAATTTTTTTAGTAACACATTTTATTTTATGCACTTATCAAATGCAATTTTACATAAACCAAACACCATAAATCCTTATTAGTTGTATAGCGGTTAAGTCACATGCCATATGGGATTAATGTCATAGTACACGAGTATTTGTAGGGGTTGATTAAAAATAGTTTCTTAAAAAACCGTCACCGTGTCGTGAGCGTGGAAGCGGGCTTAAAATTGTCTTGGTGGCCTTTCACCTTATTCCTTATCCGACGCTTCTCTAATACTACTTGGGAGAAAACGTAGACAATGTACTTACACTGTTCTGAGAAGCAAAATTTATATTTACAGCAACAAGATTATGCGTATGTTGACTACTGAGAAAATACATGCACCTATCGGTGTTTGTAATGAGATTATATCAATGTTGATGAGTCATTAGATTTGTGCAAACCAAGTGTTATTGGCCTGATAGAATCCTAGACTATATATTCACAGCTAAAAATATATCTATTTCTATTTTAAACTACAAATTAAGTTAG